GTGCTTCGGTAAACAATTTTTGTTTGTCATTCTCATATAATGTATGGGGTCAGGATATTGGAGAATTTCGTGTTAAGGATAGTTCTGGTAGAAATATTTATTCACGGTCTAAAAGTAAGTTTAACACTTATTGATTCATAATTAAGACAACATCTATAAAAGACAGCATAGACTGTATAAGGGCACACTCTTCCTTAAAGGCCTCTTTAATAACTTTTGGATTACTATAATTCATCAGCTATTACCCTATCGCAAACTATACTGCATATATAAAACTGTTTTAATAGGTTAACCTCGAATAAACTGTATACATTGACTAAAAAGAGTCAACAAACATAAAATAGTCCTACAACGCCCAAGATAAATAAAATTTTGAGTACTGCTTATTATGAGAGAAGAAAATAGAATGGTAACTTTGTCTTTCGGATCTTTATTAATTGACGCTCTTTTATAGACAACTATGGATTTAGAGGAAATGGTAGATGGTATGATGTTCGTCAGAATGGTCAAACTGCAACCTTTATTGAATTTGAAGTTGAGACTGATGGTCAATATGCCGAGTTAGCCATTGATGACATTAGGGTTGTGGGTGGTGCTTGCACTCAACCAGCCCTTTTGCCGGCAGGTCCAACTTCTTTGTTCTACAATCCAACTTCTCAATTCATAAGTGGTTGGAGATCGTTGATAAATGAAAATTTTAATAACCAGCAATACAATTTTGCCAATCCATGGACATGGACCAATTCAAACTCTGATCTATTCGTTGTTGGTACAGGTCCTAATAATGGAAGATCTAAGTACAGTGTCAACAGTTAGTATAAATGCCTAACGATTCTTTTCATGTTAATAAATACACAATAACCTATTTTCAGACTATTATTTGTATACCAATTTCCAAAATATTCCTCAAAGTACCCAGGCTGCTTTTTCATCTCCAAACCTTAATAGCGGATCTTCTGCTGGATTCTTCAACTTCTACTATTACATTTACGGAAGACAAATGGGAAGAATGGAAATTTGGGCAGTTTCCGATAACCAAAGAACCACTACTATTTTCACCAGACCTGCTCACGGTATGTTTGAATACTATTTGAATATGCTAATACTATTTTCAAAGTTAATACAAGCTAATTGAATATTTATACTTTCTTAGTCAATAACTATGTGGGAGAGAGAAGGTGGCAAAATATCTGCGTTAATCTACCCAGTAATACTAGATACTTTGTTGTCGTTGTTTGGAAAGGTGGTGACTTTTCTGAGTTCGGTTTCGATGCATTTACCTATGGCACTGGTGATGTATGTGCAGGTAAGATAAAATAATATTCTATATAAAATTTATCTCATAAAAATACTTACACTAGTTCAAAGTGATGTACAAAACCCTCCTCCAAGACCTACGACTCCTGTTCCTGTACCTGTACCAGTGCCAGTACCTGTACCAGTGCCAGTACCTGTACCAGTGCCAGTACCTGTACCAGTGCCAGTACCTGTACCAGTGCCAGTACCTGTACCAGTGCCAGTACCTGTACCAGTGCCAGTACCTGTACCAGTGCCAGTACCTGTACCAGTTCCAGTACCTGTACCAGTTCCAGTACCTGTACCTGTACCAGTACCAGTACCAGTACCAGTCCCAGTACCAGTACCAGTACCTGTACCAGTCCCAGTTCCAGTACCAGTTCCAGTACCAGTTCCAGTACCAGTTCCAGTACCAGTACCTGTACCAGTCCCAGTCCCAGTACCAGTCCCAGTCCCAGTACCAGTACCCGTACCAGTTCCGGTCCCAGTACCAGTTCCAGTGCCTGTTCCCGTTCCAGTGCCTGTGCCTGTTCCAGTGCCGGTACCTGTTCCAGTGCCTGTGCCTGCTCCAGTTCCAGTACCAGCTCCAGTGCCAGCACCTGCCCCTTCGCCTGGATCGCCAGGACATTATACACTATGTGTGACAAAGGGAATTAGATGCTTTCAAAAAGTTAACCCTGGAAACAAACTTGATGAGATCATTGGATCAACTGGCCCTAGAGGTCGACAAGGTTTACCAGGTCCACAAGGCTTTACAGGGAATATAGGTCCTGCTGGACCTGATGGACTTCAGGGTCCCCGTGGACCCTACGGATTACCTGGTGCTATTGGACCAGCCGGACCTTTGGGTGCAACAGGACCTGTAGGTCCAGAGGGTATTGCTGGCCCTCCAGGTGGTAGGGGCCCATTCGGAGCTACCGGCTTAAGAGGACTTCCAGGCGCAAAAGGATTACCTGGGGTACAAGGAGGGACAGGAAATCCGGGAAATCAAGGTCCAGTTGGGAATTTTGGTCCTCAAGGCCCTCAAGGTTTTACTGGTCCTAGGGGTATTCAAGGAAATATTGGTAATGTTGGTTCACGAGGCGTTGATGGCCCAAGAGGTAGGCAAGGTATACAAGGCCCTGCTGGTAGATCTGGCCTTCAAGGATTAGCTGGTGCTACTGGTTCATCTGGACCTATTGGCCCTCAAGGGCCTCCTGGAATCAGGGGATCACAAGGTCTTCCAGGATTACAAGGTATGATAGGAAGAAGAGGCGCTGGAGGACCAATTGGTGTGGAAGGTGATACTGGATCAACAGGCGCTCAAGGTATTCGAGGACCTCAAGGAGGCCCCGGACAGCCTGGACCAGTTGGTGAGCAGGGTGTCAAAGGCGTAGGAGGCCCTCGTGGGCCTCAAGGTCCCTTAGGTGTCCAAGGAGACCGAGGGGCAGTTGGACCTGGAGGTCTTCCTGGGGCAACTGGTCCTGCCGGACCTAGAGGTCCAATTGGTATTGAAGGCAAAGGAGGAGATACTGGACTTCCAGGGCCTGAAGGAATATATGGGGCAAGTGGACCACCAGGACCTGAAGGCCCAGTGGGTGCTCCCGGTCCAAGAGGCTTTCAAGGAGAACAAGGCGCAACTGGTCCAAAAGGCACAAAAGGTGGTCCTGGAGATGTCGGCAAGAAAGGTCCTGAAGGACTTCAAGGGCCTCCGGGAGCTACTGGTTCTACTGGTTCTCGTGGCATACAGGGTAAAAACTTTTTCATAATTACTTTCATATTTATCAATTTTATCAAACATTTAGGTGTACAAGGAATTCAAGGTCCTGTTGGTCTAAAAGGATTTACAGGGCTAGTTGGTCTTCCTGGTCCCGTCGGTCGACGAGGAAATCCTGGAATTAGTGGATTACGCGGAGAACCAGGATTTACTGGTGCAGTTGGTGGAACTGGCCTTCCAGGTCAGCAAGGACCTGATGGTCCTGTTGGAGATACAGGCCCACGAGGACCTCAGGGAGCTCGTGGTTTGCCTGGCCCTGCTGGTATAGATGGACTGCAAGGAACTGGTGGTGAAGTAGGGCCTCCAGGTGAGAAAGGCGTACAAGGAATCCAGGGTTCTATGGGAGCTACTGGAGATACTGGTCCTGATGGTAATAGAGGTAACACTGGTCAAAGTGGTCCAAGAGGTGTGATGGGAATTACAGGTAATTAAAATGAATAAAGCTTAACATAAAATTATAAGTATATTAACTAACACCTTAACATGCTAGGTCCCCAAGGTGGTAAAGGAGTAGATGGTCCAAATGGCTTACCAGGCAGCATTGGAGCTCTAGGACCAAAGGGGGCTACAGGATTCCAAGGTCCACGTGGTTTAGCTGGAGGTCCAGGAGGTATTTACTCTCTGGAAAATGAATGTGAAAGAAACAATGGAGGCTGCGATCAAGTCTGCCACGATACTTATGATGGATATTGTTGTGGATGTAATGCTGGATATAAGCTTCGTCCTCTTCCATCTCAATGTAACAGAGATAATTTAGACTGCTTTGAAAGTTTAACAAACGGTTATAATTGTGAATGTCGTATCGGAAATGGCCAAACCATAAGACTAAATGGAACAACATGCGATGGTTTGTTTCTGAGCATGCTTTTCTCTTCAAGTGATTATATATTATTCATTTAACTTATTATTTCTTAGATATTGACGAATGTGCAAGTAACAACGGTGGATGCACACAAAATTGCATTAATAACCGTGGCAGCTTTACTTGCTCCTGCAATAATGGCTACAGATTGTCCAACGACGGTTTCTCTTGCTTAGGTGAGCTTTACTTTCTTTTTCTGCTGAATATATATTTCTACATAGCTTCTGATTTCGTTAATAGATATCAACGAATGTGAAACAACTGGTAGAATTGTTTGTGGCTCTGCCATATGTCATAATACTCCAGGTAGTTTTACATGTGGTGCAGCTAACGCAGCATCTGGAGCTCTGGTAGGACAAGAAGGAGCTCTATCAGCAGCTGGTATTGGACTAGGTGAAATTATTACAATTACACTCGCTTGTGTAGTTGTGGTTGTTTTCATAAACGTCGCTGCCTTCTATGGTATTAAGCGTTTCATTAGATCAAGAAATAATAAGAAGAATATTCGAAATTGTGAAATTGAATCCGTTTCAACTATTGCAGCAACCAATTGGCGAACTGTTGAATAAGTTCGCTATTAAATTAAAACAAATTAAATTTCAATATTTTTGGATGAAGTCTTATGAAATCAACGTTAAATAGCTTTTTGTTTTATATTCTTGAGGAAACCTAGCATTATCACTGTATATTTAGAAAGGAGCTAGAAGAGATCTATAAATTTGGCAAATTTTTCCCTCATCCATTTTTTTTAATAAACGGACTGTTTATATTCTTAATTTTTTGTTAGCGTCTTCTAATTAAGAAGCTAAAACAATAAAACACGTTCGAGATCCTTTGAGAAATTCTATTTTTATTTTAAGTCGAAATTTTGGCAACTTCTTTTTTTCTTAAATTTAATCGCTAAAAATCTTTAAAATTTTCCAAATAGATATTAACGATTCTTTTATTAGAAGTTAATAAAATACATACTTTATTTATGAATTTGATTTTCGAAATTTAAAAAGAATGCGGGAATAATATTTAAATCTGGATCCGTATTCCTCTCTACAAATTGAAAATATAAAAATAATATCGATAGCTTTCCCTCTTTTCTATCTGATCATTTATGGAAATCTTCATCCTCGAAGTTAAGAACATAGTTTCCACAATAACATGGCAGCCAAATTACCACCCGTTCCTCCTACACTTCGGTCGGTTCAGCACTATCTAAAAACGGCAACTGAACACGATGGTCGTGATGCGGCTGTTAGCTATTATTGTTAGTAAATCGTCGCTTCGGTTGAAAATTTGACTGTTAATTAATCGATTAATTTTATTTTCATTTCTATTCTTTAGGTCGACTATATGCAGTTCAAAAATCTCTTCAAATTGATAAAAAATCACCTGACGCCGTAAAATTCATCACAACACTTATGGATCATCTTGAACAGGTAAATTTTTTGTTTAACTATTTTACAAAAATTGCCTTCATAAGATAGTTTCCATTTCGAAAACAGTTGTCTTTTTATATAGATAGAATGACTCAATTTTACATCTGCAAGCTTAAGTTTATTATTTCAACTTTTTATTGATGACTAACTGCTCTTTTTTTTAAAGGCCAAAAAGCAAAATGCAGACAATGAAGCAATACACACTGAAACCATTGGTCATGCACACATTGAGCAGTATGCCCTAAAATTATTTTTATACGCGGATAATGAAGATCGATCTTCGAGATTTGGAAAGTAATAAAAAACTTATCTTTCTTTTTTAAATTATTCGAATAATTTGATTCATTACAATCTTTACAGAAATGTTGTAAAATCTTTTTACACGGCCGGTATGCTATTTGATGTTCTCGAAACTTTTGGAGAGCTAAATGACGATGTACATTTTTCTAAATAATCACTATTACTATTTTATTAATGTTCTTTAAATTTTCAGATTGAAAAAAATAGGAAATATGCTAAATGGAAAGCCACATATATACATAAATGCATTAAAGAGGGACTTCAACCACAACCTGGTCCACTAGGTAAAATTTTTATTTAATGAACAGTTAGCAAATTAATAATTGAAAGTTGTTTAGATGAGGAAGAGCAGGAATTACATGGAGCGCCATCAGCACCAACATCGTCGTATATTCCTCCAGACGATAGATCATCTCAATCGGCCACAGCTGCTGCTCCAACTCCCACTCCTCGAACAGCTAATAGCGTTGCCCCAACACAACCGGTGGAGTATACCCAATGGGTACCACCATCTTCTGGATCACTAAAGCCTAGTGATTTCGAGAAAGCCACTAAACAATGTAAGCACGCTATTAGTGCTATGCAGTATGAGGATAGTGCCACTGCCGTTGAATGTCTTAATAAGGCTTTGAGATTGTTAACTACAGGAAAAGAGTAATTAAGAAATTGACAAAAAAGACGGAAAGATGGTCCTAGCTATAATATTGTCTTAATTTCCATACACATTCAAATCAAACTATACTTTTGATCTGTAAATTTAGTGTAATTGGTTAAATTTTACCAGAAAAATACACCATAAGTTTAATTCATTTTTATGATAATCTCTCTTTAATTGATTCTTATTTTCAAGATTATTTAAAAATATATAGGTACGTCTGAGAAATAATAATTTCCCGTTCAATAAAACAATTTATGCCTTAGCTATTAAAATACTATTTATACATTTTTCCTACTTAATTCAATTCAGCTTTTCAAAAAAAAGTCCTGGAAGCTTTCTGTATTCTGATAGGCAACATGTGTTTTCCAAATAACCAATCAGTACGCATAAATTAGTCAAGTAGGTGGCGTTTTTTGAATACTGACTTCCGAAAGTTCTTTAAATCAGTACTATGAATTGAATCGTAGGAGAAATTAAAAAGTTACTTTTCGGAAATTTATACTGAAATTAACGAAATACATTATGGAAAACAACGCATTTCCCTGTATCCTAGGAGACGAATGGCATTCAAGTAGTAAAAGCGTAAGTAGAACTAATCTTATAACTCGGTTTTTAAAGATATCTCTAATGTATTTAATTTTTTTATATGTCTGGAATATTTAAAGCTATAAAAACGGGCATATATAATTATTATACATTTATTTTTATCCTTAATAATCAAGTAATGTACTTATTATATAAAACCATTTACCAACAATTGATAGTACAGATTAATATATATATATATACATATATTTGTGAGTTGAACAGATATGATAGATAGATATGTGCACATATTAAATTAGCATATAATTAAAGCTGAGAGATACATATCCAAGAAATACGACAGAAGAGCACATTAAAATAAAAGATTCGATAAAAAATGCTTATGATTAAATAATGATATATAATATAAAAACTACTGAACACTCAGGTCTATGTAATTGATAAAGATGAAAGAATTTATCCGTAAATTACATCTTCTAATTTGTTTAGTTTTTAATTTTACATATAGCTTTTTATGGGAATATCATAAGTATTCTTTGAAATGTCTCAATACATGTATTTCTGTAATTCCTTAGAAATCAAGACTGAGGAAAATGGCTTCTTCATATTATTCTGTCCTTTTTTATATATATGTACATTATAAAACACATGACCTAGCTTCTAAAGAGTTGATTTGTTTTTACTCAAATTAGTCCTACCAGACTCATCGGATGAGTAAAGTTTAGTTTTTTTTTCTTCATTTTTTTTTTTAATAATCTTTCTTTTGCTTTTCATTTCATAAATATTCAGTTTTGTCTATTCAAATTTCAATTATAAGAAACCTAAGTAAATTTTGAAAGTACATATCTTAATTCATAGGCTTACTGGTAAAATGAATAGTTGAGCAACTAGTGTACTTTTGACAGAAAAGGAAATGCAGCATAATTAATATGTTAGAAATTTATATATATATATATATATATATATATATATATATATACATTATCGTCTATTCGTCAGGCAATTAGTAGACTGTTTGGCAAAGGCCTATCACATTCGTATTGAGTATCGGTTTTAGAGTTTAATTATCTTATGATATGTGAGTATATACATATATAATTATGTCTGTTATTAAATTTGAATAGGAAACGGAAGACAATTGGTTGGAAGATTTGCTAAATGATCCAATATTGAACCAACCAATGGAGGAGCCGATAGTAACGAATGAACATAGTTATAGTGCAACCAAAGAAAACGAGATCTTTGAGATTAAGAGAGAAACGTCTACGGATTCTGAAGAAGAACTGGACGTAACAAATTGCTATCACGAAAGTAAAGCATTTGGTTATTATTTAAAATACTTCTTAAAGTAAAATATATTAATTTCAAATTTATATACACATATATATGTATAAATATATATAGCTGCTCAACTTCCCCCAACTCCTCCAAGTGATGATAGTTCAATAATAAATACGGTGGAAACCATTCCCAAGTATTACGGGACGCCAGCTAAACTTACTCACCACAATAGTCATCACCAACCATACATTCAACCTGTATTCGTTAGTCCAGTAGGTATCCAGTTTCAATTTGAAAAAGATAAGAGAATGGTGTTAAACTAATAATAGTAATAATAATAAGCTAACAGGAAGAGAGAGAGAGGATGATTTATTTAAAAATATTTATATTTATATCAATATTATGAAATAGTATAAAGTTCTAGCGTCTCAAATTAGTTTTGAATGAGTTAAAAAAAAGCGCAGATGTTATCGATTTAATAAGTTTAACTGAATCTACGTCAGAAATTAAAACAGCTGCAGCAAGTGGCACATGTTAAACTTAATTGATTTTTATAACTGTAAAAAGGAATTTCATCAGATTCCAACATCCGGAGTATTGATTCTTACTGACGAGGAGAAGAGAACTTTAATTCAAGAAGGATTTCCTATACCTACTAAATTACCATTGACTAAACAAGAAGAAAAAAATCTTAAGAAGATTAGAAGGAAGATAAAGAATAAAATATCAGCTCAAGAATCGAGAAGAAAAAAGAAAGAGTATGTGGATAATCTGGAAAAACGTATGGAGGATTTCGTTCAGGAGAATCACGACCTGAAGAGAAAAGTTGAAAGCTTAGAAAACCATAATAAGTCTTTACTCCAGCAACTGACAACGTTACAATCAGTTGTAACAAGCTCAGGTTGTTCTCAGACGGCCGGAACTTGCTTTATGGTAAATACATGTACAGCATATTGTATATATACAGCATATACAAATTTGATTTTTTAAGTAAATAGATGAATTTATTAAATATTTTTAATATTTTTCACACCAGGTTATTGTCCTCTGTTTTGCTTTCTTTATCGGTGGATTCTCACCTTTGAAAGCGCCATGGAATATTGGATATTCTATTAATCCTTCATTTAAAGAATCTAAACAACCATTTATGCCATCCCCAAATATTCGTATTGAAATGGGACCAAAGCTTGTTGATGCAAAGATTGATGCTTATTTAATTTTTCTGGGTAAAAACATTAGCGTATATTCATAGTCGTACGTATCTCTATAACGCCCTCTTCTTATGACAGGTCAAGGTAGGCTTCTCGAGGAAAGAGGACCGCTGCTACCATCACATGTTGCAAGAAACGTAAGAGATCAATGCCTAGCGCCATCTAGCTCTCCAAATGTTCCTAATACCACTTTTTCGTTATCATCAAATGTGACAATAGTTTTATCTTAAGATCTATATTTTTTTCCTATCAGATGTTTAAACTGTTTTTGAGCGATACGTTAAAATCGACCGGAAAACGTACTTTGTTTATCTTAATATTATTATTTAAGACTAGAAATATTCAATGAAATTGAACAAAATTACTCTCAAATTAATAAAGAGAAAATATAAGAGAAAAACTTCATATTTATACATATACGTATACATATATATACATATATATAGTATATACATATATATGTATACAGCATATACTTCAGTTCATAAGTTATTATTCTGTAAGTGTTGACTGCAAAATATAGATATTAAAAAAAATATTTGAAGCACAAAAAAAGACACAAAAACTGAATATTTGCCAAAATATTTGTGAATGCCAAAAAAAATGGGATAATATTGTTAATTTATATAAAATACAGTATTTTTAGTCCCTTTCTCATTATTTTATTCAATTATCAGTTGGCTGATAAATTATCTTTTTGTTTATATAGTAATTTAATGTGTACGGGATTTAGTACACATGCATGCATACATACATACATACATACATACATACATACTTGTAATTATTATTAACCTATTATGCGTACTGTAAGCATGAGTGTAAATGGCTGCTGAACTGATATTCAAAATACATGCTTTCTTATACATAAAATAAAAAGTACTACATCAAACATTCTTTCAACAGTCAGCGATATACAAACATAAAATTAGAGAGTAATATTCCTATTCTAAAGAACAATACCAGTGTAACTCGGCTCATCTGTCTCTGGGTTTTCAATTCGATTCCTCAAATGTTCGATAGTATTTTCAAAGTGTGTACGAATGAGTTCAGTTTCATCAGTGGCATCCAAATTCGGTAAATCATCTTTTATCTTGCCAATTAGTTGGTTCAAAACTTGTATGTTGATATGATCATTTCCTTTCTCGTAAAAGTATAAATATTGATTTAATATTTCAATAAACAACTGCAGTTGGGCAGCTTGGTCCATACATTGATTAGCTATCTTCAGAGCTTTTTTTAGGCATTCGCACACCCTCTTACCATCTTTCATTTCAACTTCTCTTCCGTCTTCTATGTACTTTCCATTCCAGAAGACATTAGCAACATTAACAATAGCTCTCGCTTGATCAGGCTTTTTCAAGAGTTTATTTGCCGCCTGAGCACAATGTGTCCTCAGTGTTTCATGATTATCAGTAGAGAAACAAGTCATTTTCTCCAAAGCGGCTGTAATAAGGGTAACCGCCGCAAATTGCTTTTTACTATCGCATATATCATCTTCATAAATAGAAAAGGCCTGTGTTAGAAATTCATATGCGACAGTCTCATAACCATCAAATCTGACGTTTCCAGCTACAACTGCTCCCTGTTAAAAGAAAATAGTATTAACTTTTTGTTAAAATAGTATCTAGAGCCAAATCTACTCAGATGATATCTATAAAGATATCCGTACTACACTAAGCCTGTCAACTCTTAAACTAGTAATAGAATAACAATAGGACAAATAAAAAATCATTTAGCTGATTTTACTGACCTGTAAAAACAATCTAAGAGATAGTTCAGCTAATTCGACAGTTTCAGCTTTGATTAATACGCTAATAGTTTGATGACACATTTGAAAAATTTTAGAGCACTTTTTCTCCCATTTGTCATCGTCTTCCCTTACGCTTTTATACTTTTCCGCTAAGTCAAATAGGCGAAATACAATTGGTGGTAGTGTATATCTAATCCTCTTAACTCCTCCTGTACCAACATGCTTTCTGACAGTGTTTAGCATCAGATATTGGATATCTGCTTCATCGGCTTCTAGTAAATGAATAAATCTAGCGACAACACCTTGTTCTTCGGCAAAGTCATCTGGATCCTCATTTATCGACGGTTCGTCTGGTTGGTCAGTGATTAAAGTGGAAGCCATTGTCAAAATAGCGTCTGTTTGTTCGGCAGTTCCAATTTTAGTTTCATTGTCTATAGCATTTGTCAGAATATAAAGCGATAAGGATTTTCTAGCCAAATAATCGAAAACATCAATTAAAGGGGCGAAATGTTTCAATTCCAAAAGTTTAAGAATATTTTTGTAATTATCAACGGGAAGTCTTAACAGTCGAGAAAGTTCTCGACAAACATGACTTTTACTTTCAATTCTGTAATAAAATAAAGAAAAGGGAAAATTATATTTTGGAATCAAAAGATGATTATATTTGTATTACAATAACATAGATAAGCTTAAATTTAAAATGATCAAACGGTTACTTAAACATATCGAACTAATAAGATAAAATTGCTAACGCCGAACATACAAAGTCCGAATAATTACATTTATGAGATAAAATAATTTTGGTATTCGTTTTTTTTTTTTTATTCCTAAAAGTCAGAAAATCTCAAAGGTTTTCAGCACGCGTTATGGACTTTTTAACTCAACTATAAAAAAGATATGCAAGGACTAATTTTTTTGGTGAGTATTTAATAATTACGTGCTTAAAGATAATAATTATTACATAACGAATGACTTATAAACATATAGATTAGGATTAATAGCTTATCTAATATTTCTCATAAAATAAGCTGTTTCTGGTTCTTTTTTAAAAAACAAAATTATTATCTAGATGTAATGATAGTCCTCTTTTTCGTTTACCTAAATCTAGTTCATGACAGCATTTAGAACAAAGAGATACTTTAGTCACGTCAACCAAAGGTGCTCTCAAATATATTCTAAAATTAATAAACTGTTCCTTACCGGTTTTTTTAATTTTAAATCGACTTAGTTATTTTAGTCATATGTTAATGAGTAATAAATTATAGTTTGTTATACTTACAATTCTATATTCATCTTTTCAAATATTTCGCTAGTTGTACCCAAAACTTTATCAACATAATCAATCCTATCGGGATAACAAGTTAAGGCTAACGTCACCAGTGACGCTTGAAGAGAAATAATATCTTCAGCAGGCATATCAGCCCTATTTTCTGTAATGTTAGCAATTTGAGAAGAAAATATATCAAATAATTCAATGTCATCGGGTATTCCACCGGAGTTTTCCTTCTGGGCGAAAACGGATAATCTGCAGAAAGATGAGAAAGATAAAAATACATGTTAAAAAGTATAGAATTAATTTATTAGTTTAGTATAATGAAACACTAAATAATCTTCTTATTTTAGTACCTGTTGATTAGGGAAATAATAATATTTTTCACATTAACACTAGGAGATAAATCGCTACATGCTCTAAGAAAGCCGTTCAGAGTTTGAAGGTGATACTCGTCAGGAAAAACCTATTAGAAACATTTAAATTAACAAAATTTATCATTATTACAATAGTTTAAAATCTTATCTATTAAAAACTTACTTGAATAATACATTCCATTAAATATTCTTGGGCTATTGCGTCGCGACAACTCACAATTTGCTCCAAAATAAATGTTAGAATATCCTTATAAATTATAAGATTTTAGCCTATAGAAATATTATTTAGAATTTTTATATAGATTACTTGTTTATATTTTTCGACGTCTATGCCATCCAACTGCGATAGCCTAACAAGATTAGTTCCAACAAGAATTCTTAATTCCCTTCTTTCAATTTCCCTCCTTTCTTTATCTCTCGTATGCCCTTGATGCTGGACAGAATAAAATAAACGAATGCTTATTACACGATTATCTAAGCTTTGTAAACATCACTATATACTATTTATGTACTCAACATAAGATAACAATCACCTGCATTCTAACCCATAATTTATTCATTTCCGAGAAATTTAAATGAATAAAATCTATGCTATCGCTAACAGTACCAACTTCCATACCATCTTCGTCATTCTCGGAATTTTCCAATTCCAATTGCCTATCCGGAAGTATATTTTTCACGCATTGTAATAAGTAATTGCGTAGAAACAATCCCCGTAGTGGGTGTTGAACACCCCTGCACATTTCAACCAGATCTTTAAGAATATCACGTCTCGAGAGTTCTTTAGATTTAATATAAACCACACCAACCGTTATCAGTAAATACCTGTTAATTATAGCAGAAACAAATTATAGATAGTCTAGATATATATATAATCTACTAATTAGACTTTGGATTATTAATACTAGTAATTAAAATCAAACGTACAATCTAGGCACAATATTGCCGGCGTATTGAACCAATTCATATAAATCATGAACTTTTCTTCCTTTTAAGAATTCATCTGTTAAGTATTCTTCCAAATATCTTAATTCATCAATGATTTTGATATCTATAAAAATCCCTCTTAATAACAAAATAATTGCAATTGTGATGATACATACATAATTCATAATAACTTTTTGGTGATAATACAGATGTTCTTAACTCGTTAAGCATATTAGAAGCATGTTTCAAACCATCCATTAATTTGTTTTTGTCCTAGTATTAAGTTAAGTATATTATACGATTTGGAAAATAATTTTATACCAACTAAACATCTTTTCATCTGAAACGCCTGCTGTTTCACGATATCGAAGGATTCTATGAGCAATTTTTCTTGCTCCTCGGTTGGTGACCCAAGCGGTGTTGTTGGCTACAAATAAAATATATTATAATAAAGCATTCCGCCAAGGTTAAATTGTTAAATTAAACATATTTAAGATATTATTTATATTTTACAGAAAATGAAAACACCCACCATGTTTAATTATCACGTGATATAATACATGAATCGAAATATGTCCAAGATGAATAAAGCATATAACGGTGTCCACAACCGTGGCGTGAGTTATTTTAAAAACTTATTGAAAAGATCAACGGTGTACTTAATGCATTCCCAGTTGACTTTTTAACGTTTTATATTTCTAATATTACAATAAAAGATAAAAGATTAAACTATAACGTATATGAATTTGTATTTGTTATGATACGTGCAATTACTTATTTCAATGTAACGAGATTTGGCCATTACCAGCAGTAATCTACATTCAAATTGCATTATATTGCAAAAAAAGAATTTACATCAGATCGTATGGATAAACATAACAGAATATTTAAATGATAAAATAATAACATTTGAAAATTAACAAGAACCTTATATATATAAGAAAAATAGATCAAAATAATATATATTAAACATTCAAAATTCAATTTATATAAATTCGATCAAAACAGTGATTAATCAGCATATTTCCATACTTTTCAAAAATACCTTAACAAAGTAATTTTAGAAAGTATTACTCAATAGCAATCCGTCCTCAACTATAACAGTGATGTCCAATATCAAAGGTTTTTCAGCCGTTCTATATTAAAGTTCATTGAATTTCTTTATTATCTACTATTTGCTGATAATGGAATATCAATGATGTTCTTAAAGTAGTAAACAGGCATTTTGTCATGAAATTTTTTACAATTTATGCATATATACAATGAGAATAAAATAAAAAATGATAAATTTTTTGCACCAGTTTGACAATATAAAAATTCATGTCGATACAAAATACAGCCCTCCTCAGACACAGCAGTTTTATGCCACTTAGAATCTATATTTAAGCATTATTGTTTTTTTTTTGTTTGTTTCAGAAAATATCTAACTTATTATTTGAGCACATTAATCCTTATGTTCTTTTCCTGATAAAGCCAATTGCCTTCCTATGCTTCCCATCGTAACACCTCCAGAAAAAAATATGGACGGTATACAACTTCTCATGTATTCTAAGCGGGGCTCCGTATAACTAAGTATACCGCTATATACCAACACTAATGCCATAACAGTTGCCACAATTGCTATCAGCAACGCCAAGACAAAGCCACTCCGTGATCTATCAAATAACCACCAAAGACCTATTGACATTGCAGCTAATGTTAATGATAGTTGAATATTGTTATGAAATTCTAGTTTGGCGCTGGCATGATTAATTCCAACAAATATTGCTATACATCTCATTACACTTGACCAATCTGGTTGATGCTTATGGGTTTGACCCAAAAAATTGTCGATAAACGGATACAATAATCCTATAACTGTCGCTAGAAATCCACATGCTGGAGCAACCCACCACGCATCCGAATACTTTGTTAATAATTCTGGACTGAGCGCCACTTTACGTTCTAACTGGAGGAGATTTAATACGATAAAGAAGACAGAACCAACTAAAAAGAGGCAGAAACCACGGGGGAGTAAAGAAAACATTATCGGTATTTCCTATAAAAAGGATAAAAAATCATTATATTTATCTGAACAAACATATTAAAGAAAATTAACATTTATCGTTATGATTCATAGTGTATTTATTAATAATATTATATAACTTTGTGGTATGGTGAGTAACATTTACAGTTTAAATTTATATCAAGTAGATCAATTGCTGTAAGAGTGTCAACGGGTATACAGAATTAAACTGATCAGTTGTATTTTACCCATGAAATTATCGAATATTCTAATGTCCTTTACGTACACAGACGAAATCACATACGTTTGACGTAAGAGAAATTCTAATCTATTATTAGTCAAATCGCCTACAATTTCATAATCGTATCATTATATTTTTCAAATTTTCTTATTAAAAACTATAGAGATATAATTTAGGTGTGGCTCTCTTCAACAACCTTTTCCCAAAATTTTCCCGCTTTAATACTAATTTAAATAGTTAGCATTCCTTAGTGGTTTTTAAATACAATCTATTACTATGATATTTGGTAATCAATGAAATTTGTTGGTTGTTGAAAATATCTAATCTTACATTACAGAGATATTAACGAAACTATTGTAAGTACAGAATACACAAGTTCATTTTTCTGTCAATACCAACAAGCCCTTCTTATTAGAATATTCAATAAAAACATAAGAAAAACATCAGTAAATTTCCTGTAGCAAGAATATTAGGAAAAACTAACTTACTATCATAAAGCCAAGTACTTAAACAAGTCGTTTGCTGCCGATCGGATTAGATAATGTCGCTACAACATACGATATTATGCTTTTGTATACACAAAATCGGCATCTGGGGTGAGTAGGAATCAACCAATCAACGTTTAGCAGTCTTGCCCACGTGATACAGGTGGTGTGAGGACGGTCAGCTGTAGTTTAGACGGGCTCCCACTAAGAAACCGAATGAAATATTAATTTAATTTTGAAGTGGAGCATTTACAATATTTTACATAAATTAACAAATTTATTTCCACTCGGTACTTGACAAATTAAAATGCGCAATTAAAAATGATTTTTGTTTCAATCATAGAAAATATTAAAATACGAAAATGTAGGCATTGGCCGCCATTTTCGGGAAAACTAGAAGAATCTTGTGTCCACGGTAAATTGTTTTTTTTATGAAAAATACTTTCTTAGTTGACCATCGTACGTGTTAATAAATTGCCCATCGAGAAGATCAATATATCTTACTCATTTTATCTTTGCTGGGACCTCTCCCTTTTATGTCAAATGTTGCAAGTTTTGGTTATTTTCAAAGAAAACTTTTTGCCGGTTTCTCTATTATAGGTATTAAACATATATTCACAGACGCTTTTGCCACTAGTTCCCCATTTATAGGTATATAAAGAATCTATCAAGATTTCTATAGTAAAATAATTTTGTCATATTTATTTAGAATAGTTTTCTGTTAACAGATCTATACACTACTAAAATACATGATAAACTTCTCTTCTCAAATATACAATCCACCTCTACGATAAAAATAAGTCATCATGACATCTATAATCAGATTGAAGCCTTTTTCGGGTGTAAAAAGTGAATCCCCACCATGCTATCTTCTTCAAATCGATGAATGTCATATCTTACTAGACTGTGGGTGGGATGAACATTTCAGTATGGACTATTTGAAGAGATTGAAAGAAAATTTAGATATTATAGATGCAGTTCTTATTTCTCATCCTGATCCTCATCATCTTGGCGCCCTACCCTATTTGGTAGGAAGATGTGGCCTAAATTGCCCAATATATGCAACTGTCCCTGTTTATAAGATGGGTCAAATGTTTTTATACGATTTATATCAATCTCGACATAGCTGTGAACATTTTGAAATATTCACTTTGGACGATGTCGACGCTGCTTTCGAAAAAATTAAACAGCTCAAATATTTGCAAACTGTTGGCTTGAAAGGTAAAGGGCATGGTCTACAAATCACTCCTATACCTGCTGGTCACATGATTGGAGGAACAATATGGAAAATTGTAAAAGATGGTGAAGAAGAAATTTACTATGCTATTGACTTTAACCATAAAAAAGAACGGCACTTAAATGGTTGTATTCTTGATGGAATAGTCAGGCCACATCTGTTTATTACCGACGCATTTAATGCTAATTATCAACAAACAAGACGAAAGTTGCGCGATGAACAGTTACTAACTAGCATTATTCAAACTTTGCGAAATGATGGAAATGTTCTTATTACAATAGATACAGCAGGAAGATGTTTAGAGCTGGCTCATTTGCTTGATCAAATGTGGAGATCTCAGGAATCTGGACTCATGTGTTTCTCTCTAGCTATCTGCAACAATGTATCCTTTAACGTTGTAGAATTTGCGAAGTCTCAAGTAGAGTGGATGGCGGATAAAATAACTAGGGCTTTCGAAGATAATCGGACTAATCCCTTTCAATTTAAGCACTTGATGCTTTGCCATTCTCTACATGAATTAAATAAAGTACCCTCACCAAAAGTTGTTCTTGCCTCATCCCCTGATCTGGAGTCTGGATTCGCCAAAGATTTATTTATCTCATGGTCTTCAGACCCCAGGAATGTCATCATACTCACTAATAGAACCTCTCCAGGAACTTTAGCGAGAACATTAATTGATAAGCCAACTTCAACAGAAATTACTGTTGAAATTAAAAGAAGGGAAAAATTGGAAGGAAAAGAACTGGAAGAATATAGGAAAAAAGAGCGCGAGCGTATTGCAGAAGAACAGAGACAAAAAGCTCTCACTTCCCAAAAAGAAAAAGAAGAATCATCTGACAGTGAAGATGTCGAAAAGGAAACAGCCTTCGAAAACAAATACGATCTACTTTTACCAAAAATTGATCAGGAACATATATCATATTCTGGTCTACTGAAAATCTCTAAGCGAAGCCTACCAATGTTTCCCACATCGGAGGAGCGTTTGAAATGTTTAAAATGGGATGATTATGGTGAGTTTATTCGACCTGAAGATTTTCTTATTTTTGACGAAAAAGAAGCTGAAGAGCCTATGGAGACAGAGGATGAGAATGCCGAACAATCGGTGAATGATTATTCCGATCATCCCACTAAATGCATAGTAACTGATCAAACAATTCAAATAAGAGCCAAAGTAATGTACATAGATTTTGAGGGCAGAACTGATGGAGAGAGTATGAGAAAAATTTTGGCTCAAATTAAGCCTCGGCAATTAATTCTCGTACATGGTGATAAATCTGCTACCGAAAATTTAGCTAACTATTGCTCAAGTCAAAATTTGGTAAATGGAAACATTTTAACTCCAGATCTCTATGAGATTGTAGATACAACGACTGAGTCTCATATTTTCCAAGTTCGCATGAAAGATTCTCTCGTGAGTGCTCTACAATTTGAAAAGACAAAAGATGTCGAAGTATCTTGGATTGATGCTATACTGGACTCAACCGCAATGGCTGATGAAGGAAAAGGAGACGATTTAGTTCAAAGAGATTCTGTTCCAACTCTCATCCCTGCTTATTCGTCTGATTGTGTTCAACCACATGGTCCCGTTTTTATTAATGAACCGAAACTATCTGAATTGAAGGAGGTAATAATGAAACAAGGTATTACAGCAGAATTCACAGGCGGTGTGTTAGTATGTGGGGGTAGTGTTGCTATTAAGAAGAATGAAAGTGGAAAATTAACTATTGAGGGAACAATTAACAGTGAATATTATAAAATACGTAGAATTTTATATTCACAATTTGCTATTGTTTGAAATTGTTTTACTTAAAAATCCGTTTAAATTTGTTAATATATTTCGATTTAATAAATCACCTTCAAAATGTCAATATCATTGTTATAGAATTAAAGGTAAATATCAGAGAAAAAGTGCAACAAAGTCCAAGAAAATTTTGTACTATGATACATTTATGCAACTTTTATCAGCTTTAATAAAATGATAACATCAGCTTGGAATTTCATATCATTGTTACAACAAAACTTATATTCTTGTTAGTGTCCTTTTAACTTCCGGTCAAATTTGAATTCTGAAGATTTGTGAACAAGTTTCTTCTTGAAAATTTTTATCATAGCTTTTTTATAGAAATAATAAAAATAAGTTACATCGGAATTAAATATATCCACTTAAAAAATACGAAAGTGCGTAAATTCGACGCCATCTTGAAAAACAAGAAGGTTGTTGTGAAAACGGTAAATTTTATTATTTATTCGCTATATAAGAATGGTTGCTATTTAAAAACTCGTGATAACATAGATTATGTAATTTTCCAATATATAACTTTTTCATGATCTGCTACCAAAATGTTTTAGGCATGTTACGGTTGTTGCCAAACTCACGTATCCTTTCGAAAGCAATACCACCGGTTAATATCTCTTATAAAGGTTTGTAATTTACACTTGTACTAAGTTTTACATTGATTTCGAATTCATAATATTTCAGCTCGAGAATGTGCTTCTAAGGCTGCAGAAACAGTAGAAGTGTTTGTGGATGACAAACCGGTGCAAGTTCAACCTGGAAGTACAGTACTTCAGGTAATATCTTGATTAATATCCATTTGAAGAATATAATTACAAGCATATACTAAACTTTATACTTGACCCGATGACTGTTATGTTTACCATCTTTCCTATAAAAAGAAAATGTATCCCTAAGGTCAAAACCTCTCATTACATAATCTGTTCTTTCAGGCATGTGCTCAAGCAGGAGTAGAAATTCCACGTTTTTGCTATCATGAACGCCTGTCTATTGCTGGAAATTGCAGAATGTGTTTGGTTGAGGTTGAACGCTCTCCCAAGCCCGTTGCAAGCTGCGCTATGCCTGTTATGAAGGGAATGAAAATTAAGACAGACTCTCCAATAACAAAAAAAGCAAGAGAAGGCGTTATGGAATTTCTACTAGTAAACCATCCTTTAGATTGTCCTATTTGTGATCAAGGAGGAGAATGTGATCTGCAAGTAAGTAAAATATTCACTCACATATATACTGTATAATATAAAAACTGTATAAATGTATACATATATATATTTTTTCAGGATCAATCGATGAATTTTGGATCGGATAAAAGTAGATTTACTGATAACCAATTTCTGGGGAAACGAGCCGTTGAAGATAAAGATATTGGGCCATTAGTGAAAACTATTATGACGAGATGTATTCAATGTACTAGATGTGTTAGATTCGCTAACGAAATAGCTGGAGTCAGCGACTTAGGTACAACAGGACGTGGTAATGATCTACAAGTAAATACATCTTCATTTATTGTATCTCTTTTAGTAACAATATTAAATACTTATTAAGATCGGCACTTATGTTGAAAAAATGTTTAAATCCGAATTGTCTGGAAATGTCATCGATATCTGTCCAGTTGGAGCTCTTACATCTAAGCCTTATGCTTTTGTTGCCAGACCATGGGAGCTTAGGTATTTGATTTAATATACCTATAATACCATATATCAGCTCTTGTTAATTAATTCTTTCATTAGACGAGTCGACAGTATTGATACAATGGATGCTGTGGGCAGTAATATCGTAGTTTGTACAAGAGGGGGAGATATCATGAGAATTTTACCAAGGATTCATGAGGTACGCTAATTCGTTGAATTTTGAGAATTAACAATAACGTTCTTTTTCTATTCGTTTAGGGTATCAATGAAGAATGGTTGGCAGATAAGAGTCGATTCTCGTACGACGGCTTGAAAAGACAAAGACTAACATCTCCAATGATTAAAGACGAGTCGGGAAATTTAATAAGCGTTGACTGGGAAACAGCATTACTTAGGGTGTGCGACGCAGTATGTTTCTTAAAATATAATATTAAACTAAGTTAACTGATTTCTTGCAATTAACTTTTAACAGATAACATCTGTGAAAGGAGCAGAAATAGCAGCCATTGCAGGTGGTCAGGTAGATGCTGAGGCACTTATTGCCATGAAAGATTTGTTAAACAAATTGGGAAGCGAATCTTTAAACACTGAAGAAATATTCCCCATGGACGGTTCCGGAACTGATTTAAGATCCAACTATCTATTGAATTCTTCAATTGAAGGTATTGAAGAATCCGATGCTATCCTGTTGATTGGATGCAATCCTAGATATGAGGCTCCCTTATTAAATGCAAGAATACGTAAAGCGTATGTATAATTATTAAATTTTCTTTATGGGACATTTTAAAAAAATGGTTTGTATTTGATAGCTTCATTCATAACGAAATTGAAGTAGGATATTTGGGACCGAAAATTGATTTAAGCTATAATTATCAACACTTGGGAGACACAACAACCAGCTTAGAAAATATTAAATCATCACAATTTTATAAGGAACATTTGAGCAAGGCCAAAAAGCCTATGATAATCCTCGGTAGTTCTGCTCTCCAAAGAGCGGACGGTACTGCAGTTTTTGCTAAAACTCAGCAAATTAGCAATGAGTTAAAGGAAGCCGGTAGTTCCTGGCGGGTGTTGAACGTTCTACAGCGTGTAGCAAGTCAAGTTGCTGCCCTAGATATTGGTTATAGACCAGGCGTGGAAAATGTAAGAAATAATAAACCGAAGGTATTATTCTTACTACATGCCGATAACGAAACTGTTAGACGCGAAGATTTAGGCAAAGACTGTGTTGTTATTTATCAAGGTAGTATTTGTTTCATTGTTAAATTCATATGAATAGCCTGAAGTAACTTTACTTTTTTTTTTCTGCGATCAACAGGATCACATGGTGATCAAGGTGCTCTTATGGCAGATATTGTATTACCAGGAGCAGCCTACACAGAAAAGGAAGGAACATACGTTAATACCGAAGGACGAGCTCAAAGAACCCTGGTAGCAGTGAATCCTCCAGGTTTAGCTAGAAACGATTGGAGAATCACTAGAGCACTATCCGAGGTAGATTTACTCATATCTTTGAAATGAAAGTTTTGGAAAAAACAACTTTTTTTGTTTTAGATGATTGGTCAACCACTTTCGTACGATAACACTAACGAAATCCGTGATAGGTTGGCTGAGATGTCACCAAATCTGGTTAAATTTGATACCGTTGAAGAGGCAAATTATTTCAAGCAGTCTGAGGAATTATTCAAAGATATAAAAGAAAAAATCAAGCAAGATTCATTCTCTCTGCCAATGATACAGTTAAAAGATTATTTCATGACTGATCCCATAACCAGAGCTTCCCCAACTATGGCTCAGTGTGTAAAAGCAAATAACAAGGAAGCATGAAAGTGTATATTTACGAGTTTAAGATGAATAAAAGACTGTATTATGTATAATAATATATTAAAGAAAAAAATCATAATATGCTAATTAGAAATCGTAGAACCGATCATTCTATGATATTCTGCAGGAGTTCTAAAGTCTTTAGGTAGAACTATATATTTCTTGTTATTTATATACATAGAACCAGTCAATGTTTTATAGCTATATTTCTCTCCTCTTTGAACTACATCTTTTGACTGAAAAGTAAAACTTCTCTTTCGGAGAAACGAATTAAAAGTTGTACCCGTATAGATTTTGGTTTCTTTATTTAAAGTAGTCTTCACTAAAGTTTTCCGAGTTATTCCATGTACGAATAACATCATACCAATGGCAGCAATTCCCTGTATTAATTTATTAGTATTGGGATCTCTCTGATTTATCTGCAAAAGCCAACGGTAATAAATGAAAACCATTTACATTAAACACCTACTTCAAGATTTATAATAATTTTCCAATCAATACCTATACCAGCAAGTACTGCTGTTACAATGCCTGTTAATGTACAACCAATATGACCCAAAACAATGTAATTTTTAAAGCTGCAACTTTGTACTAAAAGATCTTTGGTTTGTTGCGTAGTTGGTGAAGTTTTCACATTGTTAGATAAGAAGCGTAAAGATGAGAGTTTTAGATAGTCCACTACTTTACTCTATTGAGATTTCAAATAGACATTAAGTTTTTTAAATATATAAAGGAAATAAATAAACTTGCCCGCAATGTTTTCCTGCTCACATGTATTATATTCATATTATCGCTCAAGGTTATTGTTGTTCAGCCAAAAATTACAAATTCTACACTTGGTTATTAATAAATATTGTATATATTAATCAAAATATATAATTTCAATTAAATTAATTATTTAGTAGCAATAATTTATGTTTAGATGCCGTATAGTTATCTTAATAAAATATTTTTAATATACCGAAACAAAATATTCCGAAATGACACCAGTATAGTATTTTTCCAAAAAAACGAACGAAATAATTATAAAACTTTTAAATTAAGTACAATTGTATTTATGTAATATGAGTGAAGAAGATTAAATAATTACAATAAAGTAAAACAACGCGAAAATGACTGACTTTTGTAAATTGTATGAAAAATTTGTAAAACTTATTAATATTTATAGAGAAGAATTAGTAAAGTCTGATCATGTATGATTAGTATGAATCTACTAAAGTCATATTTTAGAATAATAAATAAATAAATAAGTATATAGTGTCTAATAAAAAAGATTTTATTAATAGTTTTTTATGAGATAGGATGAAATTGTAGACAACAATTAATGTTTTAATTATGAATATGGCATGTTGTTATCCTTAGTCGTACGAGTCAAGATAATGTTAAAAATAAAAGTAGAAATAAATTATAAAAATCAATAGTTACAATTATTCAAATTTCATATTTGTATGTTATCTCTTTTAAAAACATCATACTATTATTTATTAGTTCAGTTTATTATACTTGACCTATTCTCGTTTGAACGTAAGATTTGATAGAAAGATTAATTTGTTCATTTAAAGAAAACTAGTTTAATTTCATATTTATTTTTAAAACAATACGTTTTGTTTATTATATCATTTTTTTTTGCCTCTAAACTTCATTAATCGTGTTTTAATAAGAAATTTATTATAATATGAAACATATGTATTAATTTTAACTCATAGGCTTAATAGAATAAGGTATTCTCACTGAATCTTGAACACCTTATATTGTTTTTATATCTTTATACGAGTTAGGATCGCCGTTGTTTTGAACGAAAAAAACAAGAAAAATACGTACCGTACAATATATCGGTCAATGTCTTCATTTTGCAGATAAGCTAAAAAACAGAAAAAATACTATTTACAGACATAACTTACTCTTCTTATTTATCTGTTAATCCCATTTTTAAGATATTGCGTGTTCCTTTTAACCTAATGAACTAAAAGAAAAAAAAATAGATAACAAAATTCATTCTATAGGGTCAGATAAACACGACGATATACTTCAAATTACAAAGATTGAAGGCCTAACTCAAATAGAAAAATGTATAACAAATTGAGACAAATAGCAAAAGCTAGTCTAAAAAAATGATTTCTGATATAAAAGAAAATGAGAAGGGAATTTCAACAACTTTTTCTGTTAATATAATGAATTTGCGTTGTACTTAAAATAGAAATTCTTATTAATTAATTATCTACTAGATTTACTATCCTATATAATTTATTTTAAAATGATGTTTTTGATCTTTTTACAATTTGATTATGATGATTTATGCCTGAAAATATAATTGTTATCTTAAATGACTTCAAAAGGTACGATTCAAAAGTAACAAAATGCAAAGATCTGTGAAGGAAAATTCGGAGGGGCGGAGAGTCCTTAGAGAATGGTTGTTATTGATGTGGCCATGAATTCGGAAGTAGGCAGTCATAGGGGAGGAGATTTGAATAACAACCAACTAATACTTTATATTTTATTACCTTAAAATAGATAGCGAACAGAGTATCTTAAAATATTTATTGTATAAATGTAGGTTTGTATATTAAAAAGAAAAAAATTTGAAACAATAAATAATCAAGAGAGAACTCAACAGACAAAACTGAGGTTTCTTTTTCACAACAAATACTGTCTGCTTAATAGCCACAAAAAAAATTGAATGACTGGTAAAATGCAATATGGAGTATAAAAAGAAAGGGCATTGAATTAATTAGTTTTCTATCCTTATCAAGTTTAAATATTTGGAGGGGATAATTGTCCAACTGCAAGTAGAACACCTTGTGATAATTTTTTCTTTTCTTTTTTAACACTTATGTCTTGAACGTCTTTTACTTCGGTGAGAGCGTATGTTTTTGTTATAGTTTTTTCTCCATCTCTTACTCTTACGGTAACAGATTCCACATTTTCAATCTTTTCGCCTAGGGCTAATGGATGATTGTCTCTCACTCTTTCAATTTTAAGACTCTTTCTAGAAGAGCTTCGTCCAGCTACTCTAGGTCTCCTTCTGCCCTTTTCATCCTCTGGACTATGAATATTGGAAGTGGGAGCAGAATGTATATCGCGATTTCTTTTACAATCTCTTCCTCTTTCTACTTCAGTGTTGTCTTCGGACTTTGAGGAGGTAAATTCAAAAAGACTAGGATTAGTTCTATGTCGAAAATATTCCGCTGTATCACTACAAATAGATTCCGTATCGGATAAGAGATCTGTTGAATAAACTGAAGCATCATCGGGATGATCATCTGTCATAATGAAACAATTGGTTAAAAACTGCACAAAAATAAAAGAACAAACTAAACGCTTAAATAGCAAAAAAAATGAAATTATAATTAATTATTATAAACACCTAAATTAATGGAGGCAAGATCTGATAATTTATCCACCTCTGCACCAACACCGGGCGTTCTTGGTGGTAAAATATTTTTTATATTTCTCTTTCTTCTGATATCGTCAGATATTTTTTCTAGTCGCTATAAATAACATCAAAGTAATTATTCATTAACGATTAATAATATAAATTATAGTATTAAACAGTATGCTTTATACCATCAAACAATTTGAATACTGTTGTTTGGCTTCAATGATTTCTTTCTGATTTAATTCTATTTCACTTTTCTGTTGCTGTACGATGTATAAGAATAGTCAGCTACTTTCATATATTTTATAAATATAAACCTCTAATATATGTTCTAGCTTTTCCTTAGTATCAAAATAAGGTTTAGCTTTCCCAATACTCAAAGGCATTTTCCTTTCCAATTCTCTTACTCGTTGCTGCGTTCCGGAATATTCTACGGCTTTAACTTTATGAATTTCTTCCAATTGTGTTTTACTATTTTCAGCATCCATAAACTATTTAAAGATAAATATTAGAATAAATAAAATTTACTTGAAGAAAATACAAAAAACATGTAATATGTATATATTAGTATATATTTATATCTATAAATTTATATGCCCTTTTACAGAATCGATACGAAATAGCCCGATTCCAATGAAGCTTTAATCAAATATAATAGCATATCAATGACGTTGTCCCTTAACCATTATGGAAACCTTTAAGGTTAATAGATTGTAAACTTCTTTCATGGGATTTAGTTCATGCCAAACCTTTCGAGATATGTATATATACTATATATATATATATATATATAACTTATATACAAATTTAATTAATTCAATACTTTTTCATTACACATTTGTCAAAGAGCAATAAGAACCACTCTATTGAGTGGGAAGTATCTCTAAGAAACGTCACTCAATCTTAATATAGACAAATACATCTATATGTGAAAAAAAAAGCCTTTTTTATACCTTAATCGTAGCATGATTCATCATTTCTTGCCAAGCTGGATCTAATATCCTTTTATCCTCTCCAGGATTTTCCTCCATTTCAATTTTTAACCTTTTTTCAGCAATACAAACAGTTTCCTTAGCGGCTCTATAACGATCTATTGCCATTTGGTATTCCTTCGCAGCTGTTTGAGCTTGTGAATGAGCCTTTGTTGAGAGAAAAAAAATAATTTTTTTTTATAATTTATGAATAAAAAATTATTTTTAAAATCAATAAAAAAAAAGTTCCTTGAAACTGAAACATTGATAGAATTAGAGATGAAGTGGTTTAGGGTAGATGTAAGAGAATATCAATATACGTGTATATGTACCTTTTTAGCCTCTCTAACAGCCTCGTAATAGGGTCTAGCCTTGTTGACTGCGCTCTTTAGTTTTCTGTACATAGCATTCATAGTTTCTGTTGATTCCTTCATTTGAATGCGAAAATTCCTTCTAGAAACCTGTAGAAATATTTTTATATAGTGTAAGAAATGTTTCTAGGTTGGTCTTTAACATTTTTAAGCAAAGAAGGTTATATGATATATAAGTAGAACGAATATCTGTGTAGATACATTATATAACATATATATTAGTATATATACAGGATACTGTATATCTTTTTTTATATCAGACTTAATTAATCCTTTCTTGAGTAGAAATCAATTGCCATTGTTAACGAAAAAAGGTGAGTAAAATTTAAGTAAAATACTGATTTCGATCCAGATTATAGAATAAATAGGCCGAAACTTTCATTGCGGTTGTTCAACTTTTTTTTTCTGATACATATATAAAATATTATTCTATGTTCATTACCTCCAATACGTTCTCCAATTTGTTTATTTCCGTAGCAGTGTCATTCATACATTCTAATTCGGCCTATGGAATATTTTTTTAAATGGTTGTATTATCTTATCTAATTAAAAGAGTATATACTTGAACTCTAGGATCCATTTCCTCATTATCATCTGGATGATCATCGTCTTCGTTCTCTGTAGTTGGATTAACTTCATCTCTATCCATTATGATATCTTAAAACCTAGTCGACTGTTAGGATTTCATAACAACATATCTTTTCTTAGCTGAAAGCTTGTTGCATTAATAATGAAAATCAGATGTCCCGTGCAGTACCAGTAATCGACTGCGTCTACAAGCCATGGGAACACCGTACCTGTTCAGAAATATAACGTACACGACAGATGACACTAGTAGCGCATTTAATATATTTTATCGATATCAATATTTGAATAAGATATTTATAGAGCCCATACGTATATTTTAATTTTGAAAATAAAATTATTCACAAATTATTAATATCTCGAAAGAAAAGGAACAAAGTAAAATAGTACAAAAGAATATTTTTTTACAGTTGTTGGTGTTCCAATTTCTGTTTAAATCTTTAAATTTGCTGACTACGTTTAAAATTAACTTTAATTTGGATAATGTCCGAAATTATAGTAATTGAGGAAGCTAATAGAGATGATACCGAACAACAAGTATTGGTGACGAGCGACCTCTATGGAAACACAGAGAAAAGTTACCTTAAGTCGTCTGGTAATTAGTTAACTACTTATTTTGTCCTAATACTAGTCTACAATATTGCTCAAGTTATACTTTAATTTATAATATGTAATAACGTAAAACTTTAATTGACAAAAGAATATATTGAACTATTCAATATTATAATAATTCATAAAAGAATAGTTGCCTATTTAGCAAAAAAGAAAAGTATTCTTAATTAATGAAAGTAATAATAAACTTTCCTTATAGGCTACCAGCTAATAAGAGACACTGACAACGAAGGTATTAAATGCTATGCAATAAGAAACAGCAATATTAAATGGCTTTGGTTTAGCCTTTTTTTATATTGTTATTTTTTTTCATATTTCAAATGGTATTTTATATAAACTATATATATAATATATAGAATTTCTATCAGTTATTTCCCCATCATCAGCTCATTTAGAAGATTTTTGGGGGGGGGCGAAAAGAACAAAATACACCGCCTAATTCTTTTCAATACCCTAAAACATAATAAAACACAAAAGCTTTAAAAAAAAAAGAGGTTTGAGGTTCACTATTTTTATTTTGATTTCTTTTTAGTGTTAATATTTCCATTATTTTTGCTTTTTTGTCTTTTTGTGGTTTAGTCTTTAAGTTGTTATATTCTTATTTCTCTTGTTCTATTATATATTAAAGCTTAGCTGTATATTTCTCTACTATTCTTGCCTTATTTCCTTTCTTTCCTGCAAGCTTTGCAAGCTACAGTCATATATTAGTACTTGTTAATATTCTTCAACTATAGAAGTGCTTAAAATTTATTTATATATATATATATATATACATTATTTATTCTATTCAATTTTATTCACAGATATTGAACAAATTGAACAGCGCACTGAAAAAGTTGAGAATCCTTATCTAAATCATGATGATGATAGTGAAGAGGTAAAAAAAAAAAGAAAAATTGATTCATTAATATTATAACGTCATGAAATATTCTTTTTATTCTTTTCTTAATTAGTATAAGAAAATATTATATATATACTTTGTATATAACTATGCAAAATATAGCAATCATGCTAAAAAAGACATAAGCATGCAGATGATTCCGAACGAATCACGAATTCTTAGGCTTTATGAATTATATATTTTTTTTCATGAATATATCATGAAGATGTGATGTGTGAGGTAGATGCGTCTGAGAGTTGAATCTGTCTAGGGCGTGGTATTGGCAGTAATATTCAGAATATGAAAAGATGAACATTAAAGCATTTCAACGAAATAATCATAAAAAAAAAAAAATTCAACTTATTACCGAAATTGAGGTTTTATTTAAAAAAATAGAAAGGTATCTTTAATATATTTCTGTATTTTTCTCTTGTCTTTTTTCAGGGTCGACGTCTGTTCTTTAAAGATGAGGTCAGGAGAATTGATTATATACTTGCTTGGTCAGGTAGCGATACGGATGAAGATGCCAAAATAAGAGAATGTTTTGAGAATAATCTAAGGGAAGAAGGATTGGAATTAGAATGCGACGTTCGGGTAATTAGACGTTTTTGTTGTATCCATTATAATGATGAATAAGCAAATTTTCCGTACTTTACATTTATTCATTTTAAACTTCTCTTTGTTGATTGTTTCATTTTGTTTTCTCTTTTTTTTTTAAAAAAATTCAAGGGTGAAATGCACTATGTAAAAGTCCACGCAACTTGGGAAGTGTTGACAAGGTATGCGGAAATAATGCAATTAAGATTACCTATGAGAGAGGTTCCAGAAGATAACAATACTCACAATTTTTTGGATCGAGTTAAGAATGACTTATATAATTGGTTAAAAAAACCGTTCAGACTGAACGAAACTCTTGTACCAATTATACCTAAAAAGTTTACATGCGTTTTTCAAAGGGATAAAGAATACTTGTAAGATACTAAAATAATCTCTCTCTCTCTTCTAATATCTAATTTAATTCTTTAATAAAAATATTCAATAGATTTGAAATTCCTGCGAAGAAGGAATTATTTTTTTCCCATGCGCAAAGATCAAGAATAGTCGAGTATATTCTTCGGAGAAAGCGTTACGTATCCGATGCTGAAGAGGATGCATACCATTTCGGTATAACTAGACTTTTATCTAAAAAAGTCTATTTAGCCGCATACCCATTACATGAGGGCAGTTGGAAACCGTGGACAAAACCTAGTATGAGAAAACTTCTCTACGAACATTGGGCATATTGGAAAAATTTTTACAAAGAGCAACCTCTTGATTATGTTCGAATATACTTTGGTGAAAAGATTGCATTATATTTCTGTTGGCTAGGATTTTACACCTTTATGTTAATTCCTGCTTCTGTTGTTGGAATATTTGTCTTTGTTTACGGAGTGGCTACTGTTGAAAATAGTGAAATTGCGTGAGTTTTTCACTTTTTTTTCTATACTCATCCATAATAAGCCTATTTCTATAAAACATTGTGATATTAAATTTAACTACTTTGACACTCGACTAGATCTGAATAGGAGAATAAGAGTATAAGGACAATCAAAGTTGAATAATTAACACTAAGATTACATTATACTGTTTCCTTTTGTAATATTCTTCATCATTTATCATAAGGGCGTAAACCTTGTTGCGAATATAGAATATCCTGATTGACGGGTCAATGACTTAGCTCTATTATCAGATATGTGATTCGAAGAAGCCCTATTCCCATTGTGACACCTTTGTATTTTAGCAATTAGCGCTATTGATTTCGCAAACGGTGAAAAGTAACAAAATTATACTGTTTTTTCTACAATAGTTTGTTAAATATTGCAGAGTAACGTGAACATTGTTAAATCTATCTGTACCAACTATCCTGTTTATTTATAAGTTCTCTACTATAATTTACATTGTCAAGTTATACTATAAAAATAACTGTAAGTTTTAATATTCGTAGCAAAGTATAGTATATCTGTCAAGTAAATTTTTATATTAATATGCAAATTTTCTCTTTTCCCCTTCGTACTTTGTTAAATATATTAATTAATTAACTAATTAAATTAATTAATTACTATATTACGTATTGAAATATCGTCAAAAATATTTTTTACTACACATATAGTCGAAAAGTAAAAAAAAAATTTTTAAGAGCCATTGCGCAATGACACGGCGTCTTTATTGTTCCATTGAAAAAATGTCATATTACGAAATTACATATCTATTATATTTGAATTATATATTATATTAATTTGTAATAAATTAATTTTAATATTAATTATTACATTCTTTTCCTTAATATTTTAACATACAGAAACGAAGCTTGCAATAGGAGTAATAAATTTTATATGTGCCCCGATTGCACAAAACGTTGTGGATATTGGGATTTAGCTGATAAATGTATGGCATTTAAAGCTGCCCATATGTTTGATAACTTTGGTACAGTTCTATTTGCAGTCTTCATGGCCTTATGGGGTTTGTTTTCACATAATTATCAATATTAAAATTAGAAATAACATAGTGTATTATTTTATCTTTCTATCTCTCCCGTTTCTCATCATATTACAAAAGTAATATAACTGCATAATTACGCATCTCTTCATGTTATTGCATATTAAAAACTTTTAACTTTGCCTTTTACACATATAATAGACAATATATTCACTATAGATAGTATATACGAAATATGAACAATACCATTCACCTTTATTTATTGAAAAATCAATATATATGCTTATATATAAGAAATATATATATTTCAAATATAGGTACTATATTTCTTGAACTATGGAAACGCCGACAAGCCGAGATACAATATAAATGGAACTTAATGAGTTTAATTAATGAAGAAGAACCGCCAAGACCAGAATATGTTGAAAGAGTTCAATCTAGAAGAACCACAAAATATAATTCTATCACTGGCGTTAGTTACAGAAGTTGTTTAGAAAATAATACATGTATTTAAAAGTGCTCTCATTTCAGACTAGAGAACCTTATATACCCTTTAGAAATCGTTTGCCAGTGTATGCTTGTTCTGCTTCTTTAATGATGTTTATGGTTTGTTTAATCCTATATTTAATTTATTTCATTCCTTATTATCTTTCAATTTCCTTTTTTTTTTTACCTCTATTTTTTTTTTCATTAGATTTTGGTTGCAATTTGTGCCATTGTTGCTATTATTGTTTACAGAACTTCTATTATGACAAAACTATTGTTAGAGGATCACTATTTCTTTTTCTATAAATATGCTACTATTATTGCATCTATAACAGCAGCCACCCTGAATTTGATAGTCATATTTCTACTGAAATTTGTAAGATAATCATTTTTATCTTAAATTACTGTTCTATTCTACAATTTATTTGAAAAGGTATATGAAAAAGCTGCTGTTTGGCTAACTGATTGGGAATGCTTCAGAACTCAAAGTGAATTCGAGACTAGTCTAATATTGAAATTATATGTTCTACAATTTGTCAATTACTATTCTGCTTTATTCTACATAGCATTCTTTAAAGGACGGTTGGTTTTATCATTAATTATCTATTGTAGATACTGCTATATGTTTATATATGAATATATATATATATATATATATATATATATATATGTAGATTTGCTGGAAGACCAGGGGATTATAATTATATTTTAGGAGCAAGACAAGAGGAATGTGATGCTACTGGATGTTTAATTGAACTTTGTATTCAATTAGGCGTTGTTTTCATCGGAAAGCAACTTTTATATAATGTTGTTGAAATTTTATTACCGTAAGTTATATTGATAAATAACTCAATTTTATTGTATTTTCTCTCATATATTCTTCATTCTAGTCGGGCCAATAAACTCTTTCGGACATGCTATATGAAATTCTCCGAACAACAAACCTTAACAGACGAAGAGAGGCGTAATAGGAAACCTTGGGAGAAAGATTTTGTCTTAGAACCTTTTGGAACTTTTGGACTATTCAATGAATATATGGAAATATGTAATGAAAAATATATACTATTATAATATACGCTTTAATATTTAATTAATGACTAACTTTATCAATGGCTAGTGATACAATTTGGATTCGTTACACTTTTTGTGGCTGCATTTCCACTGGCTCCCCTCTTTGCTTTAATTAATAATGTTATCGAGATCCGATCCGATGCGAACAAATTTGTAACAGTTATCAGAAGACCTAAAGCAGCACAATCGAAGGATATAGGAATGTGGTATAATGTATTATATATTATATCAAGGATATCTTGCGTTACTAACGTTCGTTGTTTACTATTAAAATATCATTTGTCATCCAGTTATAAACGAACAAATTACACCACAGGCTTTTATTATTGCTTTTACATCTGGATTTATCGATAGATTGGTCTATTCAATTGCTGTTAGCAAAGATGGAACGTTAAAAGGTTTTATCAATCATACGTTGGCTCATTTTGACGTATCCAATTTTACTGAAGAAGATAGACCATCGAATAATAATTCACAATTTAAAAATATTACCTGGTGCAGGTAAGAGATTCTTTCAATTACTTTCTATAAATACACATATCAACAATTTTCTTTTGAAGATATAAAGCATATAGACAAGCACCTTGGTCCAGTTCTCCTTATAGTTATTCTCTTTCCTATTGGCATGTTCTAGCCGCTCAATTCGTGTTTATTGTAATATTTGAGGTAAAAGACATAACTGTATTTTATGAATTTATTTCTGTTACAATAATATGGATTTTCTTTTCTATTATCAGAATATGGCGGTACTTATTACAAGTTTAATAGCTTACTTCATCCCCGATATGCCGTCCAGGGTTAAAGACATGTATAGGAGGGAAGCTTTCCTATATAATGATATTGTTATGAAAACTGAATTGGCTATTGCTAAAGGAGATATCGCACCTTTAACTGACGATATGATACAAGGTATCAGGAGAAGGACAACAATCATGTCTAAATTTCTTCCTTCAAGGAGTTTAGATGAAACTGGTAGATTGAGTGCTACGGATAGTGATAAAGATGTTACTTATACGCCGTTGCGAAAGAAGAAACACAAGTTTGAAAAGCAGATGTCGGAAAGTGTTCAAGTTCAAGTGACATCCACAGATAATGATACTACAGTAAAGGCCTAGCCATTTACAAGATTGCACATGTAAAATTTATATATTGAATTTATATATATCCCGTCTCCCCCTCTCCCCATTCGTGATTACTGTGATTTTTCTATTAACAAACGAGAACAAAATTCTATTTCGATGTATGAGAAAATAAGTTATTTCATAGATATTTTGATCTTTTCCTCACTCCTTTAACTGTATCATCAGTTGATGTATTTTATTTTAACGCTCATCCTCTCAGCTTATTAATTTCTCAAATTCAAGGGTATGAATCTCATACATAGATTATTTTTAGCATTAAGATTACTCTTCTACACCTTGAAGTATTCGGCAAATTTTATTGTATTAAAAGAATTTAACTAAGATCAGAAGTCAAAAAAGAATGGGTAAGGCATCTTGGCCTTCAAACTAACTTATAGTACTTTGGGAACAAAGGATTGAGCGTTAGAATCATACAATTATTTGATGATGTTATAATTCTTGACGTCTGGAATAAATGTATATTTCAAGAAAAATCTTCAATGTTTTTTTTGTTTTTTTGTTAAAAGCTATATAAAAAGTTACAAGTTTCTTAGACTAAGAAAGCGTCTTTAAAAAGAAACAGATACAGAATATCTTTTTTTCTGAAATTTGATCTAAATGATAAACATGAAAAAATTGACTATGATTTTCAAGTAATTTCTAACTACGACATGATAACGGTATAAATAATTTAATAATATTCCATAAGTTAGGTAACTTAAATAGAACAGTTGTGGCTTGAAAATATGCACATCGTAGATAATTACAAGAGTTATCAAATTTGCAAAAAAAATTTGTCTTCTCTGGAATTATAGACCGCCCGTTTGATTCTGAAATACTTCAATAGCATCACCATCGTCCAAGTCGAGCTTAAAGGATACAATTAGTTGAAAAAAATTGATGTTCAAAAGATAAGTATGCATACTTTAATAGGCGTATCTGTATCATTTAGTCTTGTGCCGTCAAATTGAAATCGAACTTGTGGCTGGCGAACACCAGTTCTCTCACAATAAGCATTCATAAGCTTTCGTAGCGGAGTGTTTCTCTTAATTTTGAAATGAACAACAGAACCATCTTGTCCTTGAACTTTAAGATTTATATGAGCATTTTCGGTCTTTTCACCCTGAAATGATAAAGAAATCTTTATATATTTTTGATTCAATAAAAATTTGAACTGGAATTCTAAAGAGTATTAAGCTTCAGTCAGAATAAGAAATAGTTCTTTCTTTAGAATATATCTAATATATATCTGGTTTTTGAATCTTTAATTTAACTTCTGACGAATATTCAAATAATGATTGATTTATATGTCGAAAAACTACTTAAAATTTGGTGCTAAACAAGCTATTGCAACAAAATAAGAAAACAAAAACATGTTTGGTTGAAAAAAGGTTCACGAAAAATTGAACCCATTGAAAAAAAGCCGACATCCAACCACACATTGCCATATATCAAAAATTAATATAGCAAAAAACAAACCATTTGAAGAAGTTTGCTTGATCTGCTGTGAATAATAAATAGAAGGTTCTTGGAACCAAACTTAAACCTCCTACGTCTTTAAAATGACACTTAGCAAATGCCAAATGCTATTGGGAAAGGAGTTATAGAATATTGATAGTCAGCGCCATTGGCGGCCATTTTATATATTCAAAAAAAAACGTCCCATAAACCATCAAATAGTTTATAATATCAGAATTTTTTGTTCTTTTTAATATATATAAATGTTAAAAATACAAATTTGTTAATAATTGTATGAAAAAAGTTTGCTTTATGGGATTTTTTGGCTTTTTTGGGATGTGTTAACTTTCAGAGTCTGAAGAAGCAAACTATAAAAATGGCACTCGATGTATTACTTGCCCAGAAAAAAACGTTTTATTTTTTAAAAATTTGACAAAATCTGATTTTAAAACTGGTTCTAACCGGTTTTAACTAGATTTTTTTTATTTTTTTTAACAAAGCAGATGTCACTGTTAAGGATTAGTCATTATTTTCCAGAATACAGATGTCGTTAGTTGAAAATCCACCATTTTTTTCTGCAAAAACTGCAAGATTTCATCAAATCAAATAGTTAGCAGTAAATTTATCCATCTAAAGCTAATGATTACCTATCAAAGTTTCACATTACGCAATTTTGTAAAGATTCCACAAACTCTCTACCAAATACGAACTAAAAATCATAAATGGTCACGTGACATATATGGACCAAAACTATCGAAAAAATGGTTAATTAGGGATTATACTATGGAATTAAAATATTTTTTTGTGTTAAAATTTGAAATTTCTATAAATTTTCTAAGTTTATTTAGCATTTAACCAAATATTAGACGAACCCATCATAGTAACCACCCTATACCCAGGACACGTTGAGATCGTGCGCAATGACCTAGTAAGAATGACATTTACTCAATTATTGTTAATTTAATTACGATTAAATATTAAGAAACCTCTTCGTAAAGTACATATCAGAAAGATATACCCTAATAAGCGTGAAAAAAATATTATCACATATGAAAAAAGTCATTTGAGAAAAGTATTTACGCACTAGCGTTATATAAGTTTTGGAAGTTGTGTATTTTTATTTTCTCATCCAAACAGTAGTTTTTCGTCAAAAAAGCAACTTGAACACTTAATTGAAAGTTTTGTCAACTTCCTATTTAAACTGAACATATATATATATATATATTAATATATTTTTGCATAAATATTGAAACTGACAAAATTAGTAGTTTCTATATTAAGTAACTGTAAATAGTTAAAATAACGGAATTTTTCAAAAATTTCAAACATAAAATTAGTTCAGATTTCATTATTTAATGAAATTTTGAATAAAATTTTTGAATTTTTGAAAATTTGAAATATTTTCGAAATTAGAAAGTATCAAATAAAATGCAGGGGAAAGGGAGAAAATGATCGCTGAGGGTAGACTTTGAGGCTTGGTTAGGAAGATCATAACCCTTAGTGCATTCACACTTTGTTAGCGCTAAAACAATGGTTAGGCAATTTTAAATGCATAGCAGTTTGTGAATCGATGGGTTACGATTGGGGTTAAAAGGTAAAATCGTCGACGTTTTCTCCATGACCAAGGATTTAGACAATCTTACTGACTACTTGCAAATACACTGAATAGTATGTGTTATTATATTATATTTAGAATAAACTGAGCATCGACCAAGAGAGAGAGAGAGAGAGACAGAGAGAGGGAGCTGCTCTGAATTTATGAACAATACTCAACATCTTTCAAAATCTACTCATTTGTTAAAATTTGTCTAGAAAGTGTTTTCATAAAACACTGAGGATAGCTGTATTTAGATATTTGAGTACTTTTCAAACTGAAAGATGGTAAGGGAACGTGAAATGAAATTTTTAATTAAAAAAAAGGAATGAAGAGTAACACTGCGGAAATTATTAATAAGAAGAAAATAAAGGTAGCATATGTTATAATTACTTTTATATATTATAATAATAAATTGATGTTCAGGGACGGTTGTGTATTAATAATTTAGATATAAAAAACAACAATTTATGAATAAATTTATGATACTAAAATGGTGAAGAGCATAAATGAAATATTAACATTATAACAGATTTTTATAGATATACAGATAGATTACTAATGAACAAAATTTCTGTATGAATTCTCTCACTCTCTTTCTCTCTCTCTCTTTACACATCTAAAACATAAAAAAGAGATTAAGGAATGAGAGACGAGAAAAACATAAGCAACTAAGGCAAAAAGGTCAGAGTAGAAATGTCAATTATAAAGAAAGGCCGGTGTTCATGTGGGTGAAGGGGAAAAGGACACAGCGTTTGTGTGTCTGTGTGTGTGTGAGAGAGAGAGAGAGACAGAGGAGAGAGGGAGAGAGATCGAAAAAGAGTCTAGAAACATTGAATCGAATTCATTATTGATTAATTATCGGAAAGTAAAAATTTACAAGAATGGAAGTTAGACTAGTATAATTAAAGTTAACAATTACACTTTCATTTCTATTTTATTAATATTTCAATAATTACAAACACAAGAAATATGAAGAGAATATTAGAATAGTTGTTCCTACTAAAACCTTAATAATATATATATTTTTCTCTCTATCATCTTAATTAATTGATATTGCATGCAAACACGTACAAAGAATTATAGATGCAGATGCGAAATAATCAATAGTCAATCGGATTTAAATAATACAAGTCAAGACTGAGAACATTTTCAGAAACGTGAAAATCATGTTTCAGATCAGATCATTACAGGTGAATGGTAAAAAAGAAGAAGATGGACTTATGGTCAGTTGGTTACCTGATGGTTTACTTTTGGAAATCTCCAAAAATAAGGTAATAAAGTTGTTTAAAAAAACAACGTGAATAAAAACTTGATACTTGTGCGATAATGTGTTTTTTGTTACTGTTTTTATTAATTTTCATAGTACAAAAAATGAGACAAATAGGCCTATGTTTTTTTACAGGCCTTATAAATCTTATCAATAAACTATTGATTATTTCTCGGCCAATAATTGCAGAGTTGCAGTTTTTAACGGTTACGACGATGGGTTTATCTTGTTTGATTGAAAATAATCGCTTAAAAGCATTATAGCTATCGTTCATCGATTCGTTGGAGTATTAAAGTACCGTGTTTTTCTGTACCTGTACACCTATGTAGAAAATTCGTCGCGCAACTGCAATTTTCTGGTCACGTGACTCGGCGGTGTGTCACGTTCAGCAATAAGGAATCTTAAGTGTCAATATTTTGAATTTTATAGATCTATAGATTGATTAAACATTTTTGGATAAATATATTTTTATTTGTACAGACGACAATGTCTCTTAATCAGGTTTGTAGTGTCCATCTACGAATAGATATAGCTAAATACTACGATGTTTTATAGATAGAGACGCTTAAGAGACGTTATGGCGAAGAAATTGACGATTTTCAACAAGAGTTTGAAAAAAGGGCTGTGAAAGAAGAGCTTAAAAAAGAACTAGATGAATTAAAGAAGAAGTACGGTGAACAAGATGAATTATTCGCCTATATAGAAAGGATATTTAAAGATATTTATTATAAATATACAGCAAAATTAAAGGAAAAGTTCGAGGTTTGTTTTTATATTCTGTTTATCAGCTAGGTGGCGCCACCCATAAAGTGTATTGTTTCTTTTTTTTAAAAAAAGTAAATATATTTAGTGTATATATCTATATGCATTCACACTATATCGTATTTTTGGTAGAAGATAATTACAACCATTGTATAAATACAGCTTTGGCAATTTTCCCACTATTATCTCTTTTTTTTTACCGTGTGGGAAACATCTATATAAAGTGTCATATTAAAAATTATAGACAGAACGGGGTCTATTCTAGACCTGTGACTTATGCAAATTATTAATGAACGTAACGAAGCTTTAGATACTTTATTGAACAAAGAGAGAGCAGTATAAATATTGTATTGTTTGCAGTAATCCTTTTTTTTTAACTACTATGTATTATAATCTATTAAGTGCTGTACTGTTTTCCTATTAATTGATAGTCATAATATTTACCTTACTTCGATAAAACCATATAATTATTATATCTATTCTGGAATAAAATCGTCATTGGTCTACTCTATTGTCTTCTTTTTTTGTAGAAAGAAGATGACAAATATGCAGAAGCGTTTAAGAAACTATTCGAGGAACAAAAGGAAGAGAATGCCTATACTATCAATAGTCTTAAGCAAACAATAGATCGTCTTGAGGAGAAACACGAAAACGATGTTGCGGGACTTCAAAAACAATACGAACACGAGATTGTTCATCTCAAGGACGTTGTAAATAGTCTAAGTCAAAAGCCTTTAGACGCAATTACGGAAGAAGAAGAAGAAGAAGAAGAAGTAGAATCTCCGCAACCTTCTAGAATTCCTAAGAAAAAGAAAGATTCGCTTTCATCCTATGCTTTAACGGCAATATCCGATTCGGAGGAAAGTGAAGATGAACTAGATCATAGGGAAATTGAAATTGATTTGAAAATTGAAAGATTAAAGGCCGAATTCGAAGTTGAAAAGGAGAGTTTAAAACGTCTTATAATAAGGAAAGATGAAGAACTTGAATCGAAGGATCGAATTATTAAAAAATTCGATATTGAAATGGAAACACTTCAACGGGAGAACGAAGAAACTTTTCGTAACGTTGAAGAATCTTATAGAAAACGGATTGATAAGATGCAAGAGGAAATCGATAAAGCAAAGCAAGTAATTAGTTCAAAAGAAACCGAGAAATTAGATTTACAAAAAGTCGTTGATGAACAGGAAGCCACTCTCGCCGAAGCTAGGTCAAGGTCGAATTCTCAGGATGAAAATATTGAATCATTTGCCAGGAGTACTAATAAATTAGCTATAGATCACGCAATTGAATTAGAAAGTTTAAGAGAAAATCATAAAATTGAACTAAAAAAGTTTAGTGATAAGTACGAAAATCTCTGTGATAGTTCAAAATTGGAGAAGAATCAATTAATAAAGGAATTAGAAGAAGTTCGTCAATCGAACGAAATATTACGAGATGAAAAGAGGCAATTGAATGATGATATAATTCTATTACAGTCGAATTTTGATACAGAATTAATTAAAGTAAAGTTAGAATTGGAAGAAAAGCAAAAGTTGGTAATTGAAGACAAGATGAAAATTATAAAACAGCAATCAACCGATGACGATTTAATTGCTGATAAAATGGCTGCTGATAAAGAGAATTACGAGTTATTAGAAGAGTTGAAATTGGCTCAAAGACAATTAGAGCATAGAGAAATAGAACTTGACGATTTAAGGCAAAAGTATGATAAATTAAAAATTGAAGGTAAAAATACAGAATTAGAAGAAGAAATTGAAGAATTAAAGAAGAAAATTAATGAAAAAGATATATTAAGCGAAGAATTTGAATTAAAAATGAAAAATTCTATTCATGAATACGAAAATAAAGTTAAAAATCTCAGGGATGAATTAGATTTGGCAAGGGAAGATTTTAAAACTAGTCAAATTAATATGGATATTTACTTAAGACAAAATGAAGAAAAAGACATTCAAAATAAAGATTTAGAAATTCAATTAGGAGAAAATTTAAGTAAATTGAACGAATTTCTTGAACAATTCGATAGACAGGAAACTGAAATTCAAAATCTAAAAAATAACTTGGATAGTAAAAATACAGAAAAAACACAAATAGAAAATGAAATAATTCAATTAAAAGAAGAGAAGTCTCTTTTAAGTTATAAAGTAGACGAATTAAACACTGAACTAGAAAGGGAGAAAAAGAGTTCAGAAAGCTTTGCAACAGGTATTAATGATTTATATATAGTATATATACACATTTTCAGCGTAAATTTTCTAAGTAATATTAATTACCTAAAAATAACGCATAATTCATTTATAATCAATATATCGTTTTACTTTCTCTCTCCTTTAAGCAATGGAAGCGAAATTGGCGGAAGATTTAAGAATACAGGAAGAAGATCATAAAGAAGAAATGGTAATTATTAACATATTTTTCTTAATTAATTAAAGTATATTATTATATAATATATCATTTAAATATATGCATCAATATTTATTCTAAATTCTAAATAGAGAAGTTTAGTTAATTGGTTTCAATGGCGTTCAAAAGTGAGTTTGACCATTTCATGTATATGGATGAAATCTAGTATATATATATATATATAAAAATAGATGAAAAAATTGAATATTGATTATTAAAAAAAACATCAACAAAGTAATTCATGCATATGATGCTTATTAAGTTAAAAGGTGTTATGTTTATTACCTATATATCGTGCTTAATCTTTTAAATTCTTCCAATTTTTATGTGTATACAGTATATATATATATATTTATATATTGAGATAAGTTCAACGAATGGGATGACCCTAAATACAAAAGTTTATATATATATATATATATATCTGTAGTATGTACAGTATATACTGTATATTTCATATTGAAATATTCACATTCCTAAGAATTTTAGGTCTTTGAATAAGTGTTTAAAGTCAGATAAGGATCAAAAGGTGGATAAATCAATCTTTTCAGTACAAATAATTGTATTAACGGCCTAACATATTGACAACTGGTAGATTTATAAAAAAAGGCCTATAGAACACTTTTCAAGTTAAAACTTGTTTGTTTTCTACCTTGATTTTTTTTTCAAATGTTTGTTGTATGGATGATTTTTGACTTGAATCGCCAATGTGATGTTTGTTAATGGTAATATAAATATTGAATTTAACTTTATAATTACAATATAAATAATTTGGTCAATAGAATTAAAGAAAAAATTATAGATTATAATAATAATAATAATATCAAGTAGAAATAATCTTCAAGTTATTTCATTAATAGCTGTTAAAAATACTTTTATATAGTTTTTATATTACTACTCTTTCTCTCTTCCCTTCACTTTTAGTCGAATAAATCAAGTATTGAAGGTAAAAATATGGAGGAATTGAAAAAGAGAGTTCAGGAGAGCGAAAACGAATTGGAAAATTCTGGTAAAAGGATTGCGTGCTTAGAAGATGAAAAACAAGATTTATGTAAAGAAAATAGAGATTTAGAAGATCGTTTACGAACTTTGAAAGAGGATTTTGATAGGGAAACTCGAGAAAGAGAAGGTATTGCTATATATTATTATATAAATATGATATTCAATTTCATATTTTTGATGTTTCAACTACTTCATTTATAAAAATAGTATTATATTTCACTAAAATCTATAGGCACTTCTCCAAATGTTCAAGCGATTTCTCTTTAGCCTACTCGCTTTCTGATTTTTTTTAATTCATTTTATCCTTTTTCTACTTTTCCCAACTTATTACCCTATACAATAATTTTCTGATCAATTTACTCTCTGTAGGCCTAGAATATTTAAGAAAGCCAAGTATACAAAAGTCATAGTATTCTTTGATTGAATTAGGGAATATTAGAACTGATCTGTCGAATTTACGACTTTATATAACGCTTAGACAAACATTATGATAGCGACTTGAATAAGAATGGAATCGTTTTCTCCTCCTTTCATTTTATTTTCTTGGTTAAGAGAAAAAGTTTATTTTTTTTAGCCTACTAAAAAGAGCAGTATTGAACAGTAAAATATTAATATTTGTTGTCTATAACTTTGAATTTAGTTTGACAAGAGTTTAATTCTATATTTCCTACAATTATTTACAGTAAAATTTTAAGCGAAATGGACAGATTAAGTCAATAATTTAAAGTGTAAAACTACTAGTTTATTACGAAGATTTATGGTAAATCAATTTTCAACCAATTTATATACAACAACAGCGTATAGTAGAAACCTTTTGATCTTAAGCTTAAAAGAAAAAACAATCGATAATTCAATTTACAAATTATTCAATTATAGATGAAATTGAACAATTGAAGAAGACGATTCAAGAAAGTCAGATAGAAATTCAAACTCTTAAAGAAACATTGAACAAAATGGATTCTGCCGACGAAGAAAAATCTATACCAGAGTATGTGGAGAGTGAGGAAAGTGTTACTCAGGATATATCTGAGAATATTGAAGAGGCTGAAGATTTAGATGAGGTTAGGACGGAAGAAAACGTTTCGGACGATGCAACAAAGTCCGAGAGACTATCTGGCTTATTAGCTGAAAGCGTTCAGAGCATAATTTCTGTGGAGGATACTATAAACAAAATTTTGAATAAAGCAAGAAAAAATGCCGAAGAATATACGATACTTCAGGGAGAAGCCTTTGAACTTACTCAGAAACTTGTGATATTTGGTGAGGAAACAGCTCCCGATGCAAGCGTTGAACAAATGGTTCAAGGTCAATATCATTTATTTCTTTACTAAATATTTATTGTAAATGAATTAAATATTCGATATATTTAAAAAAATTATCAGATAGAGAACAGCAACAATTTCAATTTATGTTTTAGACAATAAAAAATATATCACTGTGGTCTTTTATTTGACCTATTTTACATAAATAATACTAAGAGAAAAGATGATAAGAACAATGCAATAAATAACTAAAAAACTAGTCTCCTTCTCTCTAGTACGTTCTCTATTCCGTGTAAAATTGAGTATTTTAGAAGTTATTAATCTTTCAATTGTAGTCCTTATTTTCCAACTTATTTATTACTCTATTCAAACATTTTATTTCCCCTTTGATTTTTATTTATCTAGGGTAGGTATTTTCTTGGCTTTAGTTAAGAATAGGAATATTGTTTTTCTTCATTTTTCAGATTCAAGTTTACACCTATCAAAGGCTGTTGATCGTCTTGCTACACTATATGGTCACGTTGAAAAAAATTTAATTAAAGAGACTTTATCGGCTAGAGATTCTACGCAGAAAGCTTCAGAATTCAGGGAACTTTACCAAGAGTTCGAAGTTCGATCGAAAGAATTAGAGGATGAGAGGAATCAATTATCATTAGAACTTCACCAGGAAAAACAAATTGTTGGTGAAAGAGATCAAAAACTTGTTCAAATAGAAGAGGATGTGAGATTATTAGAAACCGAAAGAAGTTAGTATAGAGTTAATATTCGAAAGCAGCATCTTCATTCAAAACTAAATAATCTTCTTCTTGTTCAGATATTATATCATCTGATTTGGAAAAAGTTACCGCTCGTTTAGAAGAACTATTAAACGAAAGAGCCGATTTTCAAGAAGAGAAAGATCGCTTCTCTCTACAGAAGGAAGCTATGGAAGAAAATGCTGGAGAAGAGGATAAAGGTAGGACAATAATAATTTTTTTTGAATATTATGAATAGATAATAGTTAGGATTAGATTATAATTATGAATGGTATATTTTTGTTCATCAAATTGATTAATTAAAAGGAAGAAGGCAATTCCCAAGGTGTTGTTTTTCTTTTTTAAAAAGAAAAACAACTATTCAATATTTTTATTTTATATTTTGATTCAGTTTTTGTTTTTTAAAAAGTTTTATAAATTGCAGTTTCAGAAGAAGATAACGGTGGGTTATTTATAATTACATACTCTCTAAACAGAATAATAATATATACATCTCTATGATATCTTCTTTTACTAAATAATCGGCTTAATATTTAACTAAGCCCAGATAAAACAAAAATAAAAACTTTTTTTACCTTGAAACACCAAAAAAATAAGGAGGGAAATAAATTTAGGGAGATTTTGGAATGGAGATGATAATTAGTGAGAATATACTGATTACATAGTGAATTATATACGTTATTAATTAGTATATACTGCAATATATACAGTATATATAATAGTATTCAAATATATATAACCAGGTATAAACTTTTATTTTAGCAATTTTTAAATTCTTTAGCTATACCACAAATATTCGTCTATCTATTTAATCAATCAATCAATCAATCGATTAATCAATAAATCTATCTACCTACCTATATCTATCTATTTATCTATCTATCTATTATAGATACCTCTATAGTTTAATTAGTTCTCAACTGGGAAATACTATTTATTTATAATCAATTTTCATACCTGGAAAGAACTTTACAAGTTCTTTACAAGACTGATTTTATTCCTATTAATTACTATTTGTACATATATATACTTTTTAATCTGTATTAAACGATTCCTTTATACTTTTATTATATAGATAGTTATTCTCCTATTGATCTATCTTCTCCATTTTTTGCTATTGTACAGAAAAAGTTGTTAAAAAACTTGAATATATAGGGAAAGGATTAGATATATACTGTCTATATGAATTATATATATATTCTCTACACGACAAAAGTCTTTATACACCCTTAAAGATATTCCGAAATCTCCTATGTTTTTTAATCATTCTCTGCCAATTTGGTAATAACTTTGCATCCGATTCGCTTCTAACTCTTCTCTCCATAGGACCGATACTCTCTGCATGTAAATTTAATTAAAACAATTAAAAATTCTCGAATACCATATGTATTTTTATATCAATATTTTTTTTTATTATTTGCCTAGTGACATCTCTTATTTGTTTTTAACAACAATTGATATATTTTCTCATAGCCTTTTTCATATATCTTATATAATTCTATTTTCTTTTTTTTTCTCCCACTTCTCCTCTCCACTCTCTCCTAAACTTAATATAGGTTTATTGGAAGCATACAATAATCTGGCTAAAGAGAAACAGGAGGGCGAGAGAGAATTTGAAAAATCTAGAGAATTCATGGAAAATCGTATTAAAGAATTAGAAGTTATGGTTGACGAAGTTCAAAATCAGTTTGATCAGATTCTAATGGAGAAAACAAATGAAATTGAAGATTTAAATAATTTATTAGAAGCTAAAGAAAAGCTAATTCAAACAAGTGCAAAATTCTTAAAAGATCAAACGGACGAAAGGGAACAAGAAAGGGAAGATTATCAGAATGAGATATTAAAATTAAAGGAAACTTTAAAAGACCAAGAAAAGGATAACTCTAGTCAAGAAAATATGATTCAGAAAATACAAGATCTTGAAGAACAGATGAACTATTTCAAAAATAAACATCAACAAAGCGAAGAAGAATTAAATCAAATGAAAAGTGAAAATCAAACAGTTCAGAATAGTCTTATGGTAAACAGAAATAAGTTTAGTAACATATTAACTAAATTAATGATATATTACTCTTTTTCAAGGATAACAAAGAGATTATTCGAGGTTTAGAAGAAGAGCTAGAATCGTCCTTGAATCATGAACAAGAATTTAAAAATGTTTGTTATATAATACTTAGTTATCAAGAAATCGTACTTTTTTGTATATTGTTTTATCTAATATCTATTTTTTTTATATATTTATAGAAAATTACCTCTCTTGAAAACGAACTTAAAGATGTTCGGGCCAATGTAAATACTCAGGAAAATGTTCTCGAAGAGGAGAAACTCTGTTCACCTCCTCCCGAGGAACACATTTTAACAGATCTTCGAAATGAAGTTGAAACTGCCAAAAGAGGGGAAGAAAATGCTTTGAAGAGATTAACTGAATTAGAGGAGGAATTAAAATGTAGCCGTAATAACGAAAAGATATTACTGGCCGATAAGGATGGACTCCAAAATCAGCTGTTAACAAGTACAGCTTCAATATCTGAACTACGAGCTCAAGTTGACAAGCTTCGAGTGGATTTCGTAGATAGAGATGTTATTGTTGAAGAGAATAGTAATCTTAGAGAAGATTTACGAGTAAATAGAGAAATAATATCTGAAAAACAACTTATAAACGATCAATTAGAATTGAAACTTAAAGATTTAGAAAATATCCTAAGACAGAAAGATGAACAATTGGAAAATTTGTTACACAGTAATGCGCAATCTCTTAACGAATTAGAAGATAGCAGAAAGGAATTAATAGAAAAAATTGAAAATTTAGAAAGCGATAATGATGAATTAGAAAAACAAAAGAAATCTTTAACTGAAACTTCCAGTTTTCCAGATTTAACGCAAAAATTGCTTGATGATAAAAATTTAGAGATTGACGAACTGCGTGAAGAGATTCAAAATTTGAAAAAACATGATAATAGTGAAAATATTACGTTAGCTACGAGAAATAACGAACTTAATGATGAATTGAAAAATAAACAAATACAAATTGATGATATGTCAATAAGAATTAGCAGTTTTGAAAATGAATCTATTCAATATAAAGAGAGTTTAATTGAAATGGATCAATTAAAACTTAAGATTGAACAGTACGAAGATGAAACGAATAATTTGAAAAAGAAATTATTACTTGTCGGAGAGGAGAATGAGAGACATATTAACGCGATTAATGAAGATAATGAAAATTTAAGGAAAGAAATTGACAAGCTAACTACTAAAAATGATGAATTTGAAGTTGAACATTCCAATTTAAAGGCTGAAATAGATAAAATATCTTATTTACAAAAAGAAGATGACACTATTTTGGCTAATAAAAGTAAAGAAGTGGAAGAAAAACTTTTAGAAGTTGATCAGTTAAAATTTAATTTACAGATGAAAGATGAAAGTTTAATTGAATTACAACAAGAGCTAAATCAAATAAAGGATAACAAATCTGATGAACTCGCTAAAGCTGAAGAATCCTTACACGAGGTTAAATCTATGTTGGAAATATCTGAAAAAATGAAAGATGACCTTAATAATCAACTTTTAGAATTACAAAATATCAATAAAGAAAAAGAGGAATTAATTGATAAGCTAACGGTAGAGCTGGACGCTGCTAAAGCGTCTACAATCGGCCTTGGAGCCGGTGACGTTTCCAATGTTCAAGAGTTACAATCGCAAGTTTTACATTTAAAGGAACATTTAGAAATTAAAGAAATTAGTATCGAGTCTCTGGCAAAAGACCTGGAGTTGTCTACTAATAAGGTAAAGGAATTGCAAGAACAATTGGATTGTTCCATTAGCGAATCCGATAATAAACTAAAAGAAATTGAAAACGAATTAAAGGCTGAAAGAACCAAAGTAGATTTCTTAGAAAACGAGAAAAATAATGCTTTAGATACAATAAAAAACTTAAATGAAGAATTTAACGATTTAAAATTATCCTCTCACTCTGCAGAAGAAGAAGCGAAGTCTCAGTTGGAGGATCTTCAAGAAGAAAATTCCCAACTTAAAAATGAGAAAGTCTTACTTCATGAAAATATCAATAATCTCACAAAGGATCTTGAAGAATTTAGAGCCCAATTAGTAAAGAAAGACGATTCTCAGATAAAATATGAAAGTTATGTAGATATTGAAAATTTACAAAAAGAAAAATCTGAACTATTAACAAAAGTACAAGATTTAACCAAAGAAATTGAATCAGTTAAAGAGGAGTTGGATTCGCTTAAGAAGGACAAAACTGAAGACGTTGAAAAGTCCAAATCGGAAAAGACTTTGGAATTGGAAGACGTTAGAGAAGCGTTACGGGAGGCAAATGAAGAGATAAAACGATTAAAGCTATCAAATAACAAAGAATTATTAAGAATAAATGAAGTCAATAAAGATCTACAAAGAGAAATTGAAGAATTAAAAATTTGCCACGAACAAGAGCTTTTAGAGTCAAAACTTCGATTGGAAGAAACTGAGAAATTTCTAGAAGATTTAAGGAATGGAAAAGAGAATGAGAAAGAAGTTGTTCAATCTCTTTCAGACGAAATAGAGGAAACAGTAGCTTTAGATGCACAAATTCAAAGTTGTCTTGGTACGGAACATGATCAGAACACGGTCAAAGTTAATTTCGAAGAAGACGAAGATTTAGACGAAAAGTTACAGCAAGTTTTAGGCAAATTAATATCGAAATCTGTCAAAGTGTTAACATTGTCAGAAATAGAATTTATTTCTAAACAAAATGCAGATTCTGTAGTAAATGGGATGATGCATATGGAGGCAAAGGAGGATACTTTCGAAAACGAGGTGGAACCTTTCATCGATTCTATTAAAAATTTGAGCATAACTTTAGAAAATTTAAAATCTGATGAGGTTAGTATTCCTTAATGATTTATTTATCTAATTAATTAATTAATCCATTTTATATTAGCAGTTAGAAAATGATTGGCGACAAGATTTAATACGTTCAGTTTATGACGTCTTAATTCAAGATCGCAATATATTACGTACAGAGATATTAAAATTAGATGGAAATGCAGATTTAACCCTTATCGAAAGGAAAATAAATGGAATTGCAGCCGCTCATGAGAGAGCTTTAAATGAATTACATTCAATTGATAGAAAAACGCTTTTAGATGAGATAAGAAGTCTAAAATCGAAATCTTCTAATTTTGAAGATAGAGAAAGACAGGAGTTTACGAGAGAAATTGGACATTTAAAACGTCAACGTTCGTATATGTTTATATACTAATATACAAATATATAAATATTTATTATTCATCCTTTGCAGTCAAACTATCTGAGTATAAAATTGAGCAAGAAAAAGTACAATCTGAAGAAATAAGATCGTTGTTAGAAGAAGAAAAATCTAAATCTAGACAAACTAATGTTCAATTATTTTCAACACAAACTGAATTATCTGATTTAAAATTAGAAATTAATGGAAATAGAAATGAATTAGCTAATCTGCAAGATACTCTTGAAATTGAACAAGGAAGAGTTATGACAGCTACGTAAGTTTATTTAAGTGATTTCTTTACTTTGTTTTATTCTTTGATTATTCTTCTTTCTTTCTTTGTATCTTTTCTTATGTTAAATAAAACATTACAGTATACTTTCTATATACATATATCTTCTAACAATTATAATATATTCATTTATAATATCTTAGATCTGTCTTGGAACAAATGCTGTAAGTTTATAATCACATAACTCATTATGCACATAGTTTGTTAAGTATTATGTTATAGGGATAGAGCATCACACGATACAAAAGATTTATATTTATCATATTCTATTTTCAAATATTGTAGATAATCATCTTTCTCTTTTTACTTATTTCTGTTTTAGTAAACATGCACTTGTATGGAAAATATATATATATATATATATGGATGCTATTACTCATTTCTTTGTTTTACTATGATTTATTGTTCATAGAACACGTCTGTAAAAGATACGAAAATTCATTTTGAATTATGATTATTTTAAATGGTACAGAAATTCATTGGAAAATGAGAGGAGAAAGATAGCAGAACTTCAATCGTCTCTAGCTGTTGAAAAAAGTAACGCTGATAGAATTCAGCAAGAACTTTTAGCCGAAAGACAAAATTCTAAAAGGGAAAATGATCGTCTAACGTTAAGTCTACAAAGTAAACAAGCGGATTTAGATAAAGAAAAGGAAAGGCGTCTAGAAGCGCAGAATAACTTTGATAGGGAGAGAACGATGGTATCCGCCTTACGAAGAGATGTTGAAGCGGAAAGAGATCAGAGTAAGACAATTCAACATCGTCTAAGAGCTCAGTTAAACGATGCTAAACGGACTATTGAAGAATTAAAAGATTCCCTGTCTGAAAGTCAATCTTCGTTAAGAAAAGAGAAAAATGTGGTAGTTCAATTTAAAGAATCCCTTGAACAGGAAAGGTCAAATAGAAAGAAATTTTCTGATAGGGAGCGATCCGTAGTAAATGAATTAAGATCAGCTTTAGAGATAGAAGAATCAAAGGTCTCATTTATAGTTAATTTAAATTTTTATGTTTATTTATGCTTGTTCATTGTAAATATCCTTAATGTGGAATCGTTTATCAGGTCGACAAATTACAAAAGAGAATTACGGATTTTCACGATAAGAGCTACGATCATGATCTTGCCAAGCAATTGAAAATTGCAGAAGATGAACTGTTAACGAGGCCAACGCTCGCTGAAGTACAAAGACTACAGCAAAGAATAGATGAACTAGAAAAACAACCTCCCGAGCCATATCGAAGATGCCTTAAAACAACAAAAGATCAGATTACGGATCTTGTCAATAGGAGTGAGCTGTCAACTGATCCAAATGTTCGAAACATAGCTCAAGATCTTATGGATATTCTACAAGATTTACAAGCGATAGAAGCAGACGTTCATGGCTTAGGTACCTATAGTGATATAAATGAATCCTCTGTGATTGGAGCTAGTGAAGCCACAACAAGACTAATTAGGGAGTTAAAAGATGAAATGAAACGGATGAAAATAGCGGTTTGTATAAAAAATTGGTCAATTCATTACATTTATATGTCTTTTGAATAACAATTGACTATTTAAGGTAATGGATAAAGATGAAGAATTACAAGCTTTTAAGAGGAAATATCGAAGTCATGTGACTGATACGGAAAGATCAAAGTTAGAGAAGGAAATATACGAGTTAAAAACAGAGCTTCACATAGTGAAGAGGCAATTAAATGAAACTGAATTTGAATTAGATAAATCAAGGAAGAGTGATCCTACAATGTTACGCCAAAAATTAAGAGACATCCACTCAAAATACCTAAAAGCGGAAAGTCTAAGAAAATCACTAGTTTATCAAAAGAAGTACCTCCTGCTAATGTTAGGAGGTTATCAGGAAACTGAAGAGCAAACTTTAAGGATATTAGCTAGCATGGGTGGAAGTCCCGATAAAAGAACTCTGTCTTCGAGATACGTTTCTCCATTGCATAGGTTTAAGAGTGCTGTTTGCGCTGTATGCGCCGTCTGGCGTTTAAAATTTTACGTTAGACATTGGAAAAGAACATCAAAAATAGGTGGACAAGCTTTAACGTCTACGAGTAATGGTTATTTATCAGTTAGTAATAGATTGTAAGTGTCTTTAAAAGATATATAATTTAAAACAAGTTTAAATTTCATTTAGTTAAGCAATTTCTCTTATATTACTAAATCTTAATATAGCGATGATCTAGAAATACGTTCGTCGTCATCTTCAATTTCAACCTTATCAAATTATCAAGCAGACGAAGAGATGCGTCTCTATTTAAATAGATTGGAACAACTACAACGTAAATTACAACCATCTTCACAGAAGAGCTTTCTTAGTTACGACTACACATAGGTGGACCAAAAAAAAGGAGCAGAAGAAAAGCATTAATCTAATAATGATAAATTTAAATCAGTCTGTGATAATCCATTTTCTTGGTGGGTGCTTTTAGCACATAAAATTTAAATCTATACTTTTTACTCTTTTGTTTTCTTTTGTCACAAAAACTTAAATAAATATATTATTATTATTACTATTGTTCAAGAACCTAGCTTTTATAGAATATACATTTATACTGACACTATTAAACTTTTGAATAAACACATTTCTACTGCATTGTGAATAATGAGTAATAAAAACAAAAAAAAGTGTATTACTTTTTCAACTTGAGTTAATTAACCTTTGATATCTATTTACAGAATTTTTACCTAAAAGTCTATTTGTTGTTTCCTTTATCGACTTTCGTCTTTCAACTTTCTTTATACTTTTTCTCTTTTCTAGTTTATCATTTTCCGGTCTATTAAATGGATTTTTTCGTTCATCGTTTGATAAAGATGAGTAAAATAAACTGGTATAGACAATAATTAACATAAATATAATTAGAAGAAAGAGTATTAGTAATATTTTATATATTCTGTTATTAGATATTTCATTGTCTTTCATTTCTGTTAAAAAATTGAATTTCTGTTTTTTATCAGCATAATCATCAACATCATTTGCTTTTTCTCTTAGCCTAATAATAGATTCTATATGATATCTTGTATCAGAAGTATTCTTATCGTGAACATGTTCCCAATCATAAGTAGTAGTTGTAAAGTTGATATTATATTCTTTAGTAGTCAATTTATTATCTAGTGTTCCATTATTTGTAGTCGAATCGTCGCACATATTCTCAAATCTCTCGTATAAACCATTAAAGTTTACTAACTTTCTTTCTGTATTTATCCGCAATATCCAATTTTCGTGTTCACAAATAAAACAAAGCTTCGTTGCGAAACGTTTACGAGCCTAAGATTTATTTATTAATATCTATTAAATATATTCGTATAACGTAGTTTAATGAATTAATATTACTTTTTTATTAATACGTTGTTTAATTAGTTTCAACAGCCAGAACGATTTACAATCGCAAATTGATATTTTAGGTAAAGTAATTTGTCTTATCTTTTCCAGGTTTTCTTTAATATTTATTGAAAAATTAACATAATTTAGTTCGTTACTGATGTTAATAGACTTTAAATGGGGTAATTTCAACGCGTTATCAATATTTATAACGTTTCTAAATAATCCAGAAATCTTAACAGCATGAACGTTTTCTAATCCGATTTTAGTACATTTATTTATGCCAGGTAGGGTATTTAATAACAGTTTATATACTTTTTTAATGCGTAATCCACATGGTAGATTTTCATTTAAGCTTAATAAAGTAACGTAGTTGAATGTTACATTCTGAAAAGTAACACTTGAACATCCATCAATATTCATTATTTTAGAATAATCAATAGGTTTACGTAGTATTTTTGGTAGTATTAAAAGTTTAGAATTTCCAATAATCGCCTTCTTATCGCAAACTATACGAATATTACGAAATTTTTCATCATTATTACCAATATTACAAGGTAAACTATTGAAATCTAATCGTTTTTTAGGGCAAAATATGTTTGTTCTTTGCAAATTACCATTGGATAATTGGCAAGAACACCTAAAACCATAGATAGGTGATATATAAACAAATAGAATATATATTAAATTACTATTATTCATAATTTATTGTTTGTATTGTTATTATTGTTAAAAATTTTGAAAAAATTATATTAATATACTTTTTAAAATGAGTTACGATTTAAAAATGAATTTCTTTAATTTTTGTATTCCTTTCCTTAATTCTTTATTGTTAGATATAGATATTAGAAAAAGGTTAAACATTTGAATGAAGCATAATTTGGAGGAAATAAGCTTATTAGTAAATAATTAATATTTTAGTAGATTTAAAGAATTTCTTTAACTTTCCTAGAATAGAACTTTAGTATTCTTCCATTTTTGCAGTATTTTGCTATCAATTTTCCAACAGGATTTTATTTCTTTTTCACACGGGAATTGATGGGTTGAATAGAGCAGGTCAATAGAGTGAGAGAGAGAATAGAGACGGAGAAATAGAGAGGGTGAAATGGGTAAAGAGGATCAATCGGTAGAGTCTTTCTATTTTTCCTAAATGGATGTAAAATACTCAAGAGCCGATGATACGCAGTCGAAAGTGTTATCTTTTGTCAAGACTATATCGAAAGACTTTTTAAACGTTTCTAACCTCTTATCAACCTAAAAAAGAAAATATAATTGCAAATTTAAAACTGAAGATTACTTTTAACTAAAAAGATGTTAAATATTCATACTTCATCATTTAAGAAACCAATAGTTAGCGGCATATAATCTCCTGTTAATGCTCCATCAGCCATTTGTAAATCGCCTAAATGATCACCCATTAAAATAATATTTGGACGATGTTCTAGCGTTGAAAAGTAAGATGTTGTTTTCAGAGCTTTTTCCGATTTATTCAATACATGAATAAGCGGTTCCTAGTAAAATAAGGAATAGAAAATATAAATACAAATAACAGTGTTAGAAAAACGTACTTCAAAGTCAACAAGAATATCGTTTTTATCCCATTTCATCATATTAGAAACAATTTTAACATTTTTCAGCAGAATCTCATTTTTCGTTAAAACTTCTTGAATAACATTGCCTATACCAGCGCTGAAAACCAATACTGGTACTTCTAATTCCGATAAACGTCTTATAAACTGAGTAGCACCGTCTCTGAAAAGTATAAAAATTAATTTTTGCAATATATTTTTAAAATGAGAGAAATGTTGCTACCTTAGTGTGATATTAGAATTATAAGCAGCATTTTTTACACTTTCTCTAGTAATATTGTGTTTAATTAGACCTTCATGAGCTTTTGACCACCATTCAATCATAAACGGTGTCTTTTCTTCGGCTGTCATACTATTATCAATTTCAATTGGATAGTACTTATCACGAAGTTTGTAAGCCTGTACATATTTATTGTTTATTTTAAAAATTATATAAAAAATCTACCTATCTATAATACAATACTAACCATATCTCTGTATTCCAAGGGAACGGCATTGCTGTTGTCCATTGCAGCTGGATAACAATATCATTCATTTAAAATAATGTGGACATGATAAAAGAATGGGAGCAAACAATTTTAAAAATAATACTTTGCTTACCATGGCACGAATCGAATATTTTTCCACTTTCATCTGCGTACTTTGATAAAGTTCCATCAAAATCGCTTATGACCTACAAAATTAGGTCTAATTTAGTTGAGTGACAAAATGAAAACACTTCATTTTTATATTGGAAAACATTCATCTCTGATTTGCTCATATTTACCTGTAATTTATCAATACCATCTTTACCGAATCCTTGTAATTTATCAATTACATAACTCTCGTCTTTTATATGAACGTTAGGCTTTTGCAGAAACGAAAAATCAGACTGCAATATCAGAAAATTGAACACGAGGTTAAAAATACAATAAGATGTTTGATATTATGGCTGATTAAAAGATTTCAATAAGCGAACCATTTGTATAAGATAATTGATAGGATAATCTGTTGAATGCGTAAAAAATTTTACTATATCCTCTTGTTATAGTATTTAAATACAAAGATTAATTTTTGAGTTTTCGAATTACGCCATCTTTTTAAAGATATGCGCCTGAAGAGGACACTACTGTAGAAAGGTCAATGTCCGACTATTGTTGTAAATTCTTGTATTACTTGTCTCTTACTTTCATAAGTCTCACATTCATATATTCATAAGTAAATGTATAAAAGAATGCATTTAAGTCTCTTTTACTTTGCTCCACTTGTAATAGCCACAAATAGATGAATAAATAATAAACTTACTATTACCTTTACGTTGAATTTCATTATTAGATAAAAAGAAGTATGAGAAGGCAGGGAGAGGAAGCAAGAGTGAAGCAAAAAGCAGAACAGTGAAAAGAGTGATTTTTCTTCTTTCTCCTAGCTGCTCTATTCGAATATGATTGAAAAAATAAATTTTAGGAAGAGGGGGAGAGCATATGTTACATATTCAATTCAATAAAATAGATATGATGTTATCTTCATCAATTAACAATATTAACATTAAAATAGAATATTTAAACATTTGTTAATATTCAATCTTATCTTTATGCTAATTATTCAAGAATGGCAGAGGAAAGAGAATAATCAATTTTTTGAACGCTATTAGTATTATTGTTTATGTATTTTTATAATATTTCATATGAATTAAAAATTTAGCAGACAGAAATTGAAGAATAAGGAATTTTTATGTTTATTTGTTTGAATTTCGTCCTGCACGATGTCTTTGTTGTTTTACTTTAGAACCGCATTGTGACCAAACTCCATCCTCATCGCAGCACAGGGTATGGCTCCTTGATCCAGTTATGTAGCTGAATGGATAACAAGCGCCTGGTGTCTGTTTAGGAAGCAAATAATAATGATAGTTATAAACTAGACTATATATAACATACTTGTCCAATTTGTCTATGAAATTCGACTACGCTATTTTCAACATATTCGTAATCAGCTCCTTCGACGGTTCTGACACTATTGCAAAGAAATTGACCAACGGTAAAGTTTTCCTATTGCAGTAATATAGAAAATTGATTAATTCATTAGGTATATAGCATATTTCAATATGTTGAACTATTTTTGAATACATACTCCGGGATACATAGCATCAATAGCCCACATGGGAGAGCTTTCATAATAACGAGCAACTTGAAGACAGTGAAATTCACAGTCAATTTCTCCTACAAATCAATAATGAAATAGGCAATTACTTGAATGTACTCTATGCAAAAAGAGAATAGAAAATATTTACAGACCTTCATCATTGCAAGTAGTAGTTGTAACATTATCTAAAACTTGAATTGGACCAACAGTTTCTGGGATAACTCCATCGTGTTCGACGAAAAGACCGCAAAAGCAGCTAAAATATACAAACACGTCAAGTGTAAAGTTAATTATTTGTATAAAAACAAAAGATTTTACTCTTCTGCAGCGATGATACCAATTACACTGGCCAAAACGATAAGGAAGAGTTTCATCTGCAAGAAAAACATAATGTGAAAATAGTTTAATTATTCTTTCATATAATAAATAAGGTTAGTTTACTTTCGTTACTGTATTTCTAAGTAAGTACAAATAGCGAAATTAAAGTTTTCTTTTATATTGTCTGTTCCGTCAATCAAAGCCTGTTTAATATTCAAATTTTATGTATTTCAAACACCTGTATATGATTAATAAATTTAAAAGTATGTTTGTGTCAGCTGACTTATGAAGGTGAAAGAAATGTCAACTTTGATATCACTAATGTGAAAGAGCAACGTGTTTGTCCCAATTTTCAGAAAAACTATATAAATAAATACAGAATTAATTATATTAATGAAAAGTCATAATAGTTTTAAAGTAATCCTTACAGTTCTTACGAAGACAAGATATCACTTGCAATCAAAACTATTAAAGGAATTTATTAAAAAAAAGAAACATAAGCAAGAAAAATAGATATGAAAAAAATGTACTTTCTTTTTTCATGGCCAGTGATAAACTAAGTCTACATTAGGCCTATAATTATAAGACTAATGATCTAATTTTAACTTTGTTTGTATGTAAATTAACCACGAATGATATGATATATTATTTTAAATCAATGAAAAAGATCTTGTAAATCTTAATATTAATAGCTTTATAGTTTATCCTCAATAAAAATTACTATAGAATGGTATTGAATAAACTAGATTAAAAAATTGCTTGCTCATCAAAACCATCTAGCTTTGAAAAGTGTCTGGTCTTTATTACCTTGACTGATTTTTATAAATATGTTGTTTTTTAAAAAAAACAAATAAAAAGAAATGTTAATCTATTTCTTAAGATATTTTCCATTATTAAATGAAGAAGCGTAGGGATTAAATGTAAAGGCAAGATTAAAATGACTAAATGTGAAGAGGGAGGGCGGAAGAAGGGATAGGGAGGGAGGGGCATGTAGGTGTGGGTGGAGAAGAGAAAAGAGAACTATGTGGATAAATATAATGGTTTACAACAGGCTGTTCAGTGAAATAGATAGAAGAAGAAAAAGCCAAAGAGGCAAACAAAGAGAGGCAAAGGTGGAGAGAATATTTACACTTCTCTTCGAATTCTTTTTTAACATTCTACTATTTAACTAATCATTATCTAGATTATTTGTTGACATACATTTAATTATAATTATAACAAATATGTGAATTGTCATGTGTTCGAAAAACAAATTAGGGTCACTAAGGTCACATTAAGGCGGAGACAGCCCATTTTTTGATAAGAGAATTATTTATATTGGGGCAAAATTTTATTAAAGTTACATCTTATTCAAAAGTTTTTGGTAAGGCAGACAAAGATCTTCAATTTTTTGAAAATCAGCATTAAACTTATTCAATTTTGTATTTTATTAAATTTATAGAGAAAAAAAATATGTTGGTCTACTTAGCAGCATTGTTCGTTCTCGTCGGCTCATCTTGGGCTCAGTCGAAGTAAGATATTTCTCTCTTTATATTCTATTATTCTATTTCACATATAAATATACTAATATATGAATACAAATCCTGCAATCTAATTACAGTTGCACCTGTACCGCATTCGTTGATCCTAACGGTTTACCACCAGAATATATCGATGTTAATCAATTCGGTGTTGTTGGAAATACTGAATGTGGTGATAGAGGTATGAAAAAGAAATATTCCCTATTTTGTTTATTGTTTTATTGTGGGAAACTAGCACTTTATCTTTCTTAGGTTTAATTGATTGCGCTAAGTGGTGCAAGGATAAATTTGTTCCATGGTTCGATAATTTGGATCTTCAAGCCCCAAGACCTAACGTATATTAATTAATCCCTTTTTATGAACTGCAATCAGAAATATATGTAATATTCTTTTCTTATCTCTATTATTATAGGACAGTCAAAATCGTATTTGGGGTAAATACATGTGCGATCAAATTAGAGCTGGTTTGGGACAAGACTACGATGCTGTAACCATCACCGAATACGATGCAAGTATGCGATTGGACTCTTGCGGAGGGTAACATTTTATAACTATTAATAGTAACACACCCTAACGTAATCTATATTATTTATAAAATAGACAATGGGAAGATGTCATCACTAAGGATGGATCAAACGGCAAAAAATTATGCTGCGATCAAATTGGAAATCTTGTCAACTGCAATTAAAATTTATCATTTTTATGCTAATTTTACAATACAATTTAATTAAAAATTACGATATCCTAAGGAAATATATTCATTATTAATAAATTATTAACAATTAATGAAAGAAAGTAATCTCTATTGTTCTTATAGTTGACAGATATGTATACATTGTTTTGTTTAGCTAACTAATCTCTTTTCTTGTGTATTCTTATCTTTTCTGTGAAATAACAGAATTTTAGAGTTGAACAAGACTTTTCTTTACGCCAGAATGTGTGATATATGAATATACAATATAAATGTATATATATATATATATATATATACTAGAGCTTATAAAGCAGTATTATTACTTCTTTTCCTTAATATACAATATTGAAAAGTTAAACCGACACGTCTTTAGTAATTATCATCCAGTGAGATAAAGGCTTTAATGAAAGAAAAACCTTTCTTTTGTTCGTCAAATAACTAGTCATGTTTAGGGAACAAACATATGGTTATATCCTGAGGTTAAAATACCAAGAATAGTTATCTTATTCATTTTCGTACTAAATTTAATTTATAGCTCTTAAAGTCTAATATTTCTTTTATTCTATGTAGAATTATCAATAGTTAAAACACGAATGCTTCATGGTTTGCTTATCTTAAAGTGATGAATTGTTTTTTTTATTAAAAAAGAGCCTCTATTTTTATTTCTAGCCATTTTTTAAAGCCAATGAAAAACTAGATAAGAAATTATTGCAGTTAGACTGGACGAAAGTAAAAATGTTGCTGAGTTTGTTTGTCTATTCGTTGTCGATGATGGGCTTTTTGTTGTTGATGATGGGTTTGTTGTTGTTTCAACATATTCGGTTGGTACCGTATAAGCTACGAAATAATTTCCCCTTGGTGGTCTTCCAGCCCAATGGCCTCCGCAATTTAAAACAATATATTGTTTTCCTTTATATCTAAATAACAAGATTATTTTACAAAATTACAAGATAAGAATCATTTTAAAGTGAAACGAAACGATTGATAATAATTATCTTTAAGAGAGATAAAGTCTTTTTATAGTCTCCAAGTACCTGTAAGTCATTGGAAGAGAAGTACAATCGTGAGTTAACTCCTCAGATTGCCATAATTCTTTTCCAGTCAGTACGTCATGTACCCATATTTTATGATCCTCAGATCCGGCTCCAATTGCTATTCCACTACCCAAAACTAGTTGAGGGGAGAGAGCTTTCCTATAAAGTAATAGAGATATTTATGATGATGTAGAAATATTAAATTACGCCTATAATATGTTTACCTTGCACCAATGTTTCTCCCCTGGTCCGTTTCAAATGGATAATGTCTACCGTATGGTTTCCTCCATCGAATTGTTGCATTATTTAAGTTAATCGCAATCATTTCCGAGTATGGACCATCGTAACAGAAGGAATATTCATCTGGAGCTCTTTTTTATTTTTAGAAAGATAAAATTATAATAAGTAAAGAGAAGAGAGAAATCTATTGGAATAAGACTCACGAAAAACGTTTATGACACATATTATATGGAGATCGTGGAGGATTTGGATTAGGTTGAGATCGACACCAAGACGTCTCGTTCTTTCTCATCAGTTGTCTAACTATTTAGTTTAAGTAAGAGTACAGCCCAAAAGAAAAAGAAGAAAAAGATAATGATACTTGTATATTAAATTACAAATAATTTATAACTAACGCATAATTATGTTGTTAACGATAACTATTCCAATATTTTCTTTAGGAAAAATAGAAGTACTTTGCCAATTGACCCCTCCCATATCTCCAGGTATTGAAATAATACTTTGATCTAATCTTGGTGGAGTATATTGCTAAGTATTTTAAAATCTTTAATATGCATGTTAATTTGTAATTAGCGTATAAATACTCGTCCTAATCCATCTGTAACTTTAGCAGTTTCAAATAGAAGTTTAGCACAGTCATCTCGGTTTTGGTTGTAAGGATGATTAACCAAACTGATATCAAAGCTCAGACGACTCAACTGACCTAATGGACCGACTACTCTCCTTTGAGTTGGACTAGTCCTTTCACCTGGTACCTTTTTAATTTTAATTGAAAGAATTTTTAAATTTAACAACGTAATAGTATAGTATACCAACAGTGCTGGGTGGAACGAAAAATTCCTCTGTTGGAATAATTTCAGTACCGTTTATGGCGTCGAACATAAACATAGATCCAGTCTTTGTAGGCTGAAATAGTTTAAAATTTATAAAAAGACGTAAAATAACTATAAGTTACTTGAATATTACGACTATCAGATTAAATGAACTTACGTATAAAACCACTTTAATACTCTTATCATCTTTTAAAATTGTTGTAATTGTTGGACCGGCGGCTCCATCCTTTTAAGGGGAAAAAGGCTGTTATTATATTGTTGCAATATATTTTTTATCATATGGAAATATTACGTAATTCCAAAGGTCATGTTTGACAAATTGCTGATGCCATAATTTTTTCCCAGAGTGAGCGTTAAGAGCAATTACAGAGTCTGTGTACAAATTGTCTCCTAAGCGATCACCGCCGTAAAAGTCATAATGTGGTGACGAGGAAGCCATATAGACAATACCAGTTTCGCTATCACCTGCTAATGGAGCCCAAACATTGCCTCCACCGTTATATTCAGTTCCATTTTCCCATGTACTATATCCTGTATCATTTTTATCAACGGGAATGACATAGAATCTCCACTTTAATTCACCAGTTTTAGGATCAAAACCCCTAGGTTGGCCTTTAGGTGTATCGCTTGTTAAATAATCTGATATTGCTATATTTTAAAAATAAGAATGTGGACCTTAGCTAAATAATTTTTCTTTGTTTTTGTATCATATTAACTTACAATCTCCAACAATTAATGTATTATTTACTATAATAGGAGCTGAAGTAAAGCCATAAATAAGAACTAATTTCCCACCGTCATTGAAGTAGGCGTTTTTAATATCTTCAGTTAAATTCAATTTACCCTATGATATTTTATATATATATATATATAAGAATGACAGTTTACTCTTTCAATTTGTTGTGTTAAGTATCAAAAAGGAAAATAACTACAAACATAATTGCCAAATTCAGGGCAAAATTTTCCTGTTGCTGCATCAACAGCCACTAAAAAAGCCGATGTAGTAGCCATATATACTCTTTTCCTGCAAAGGTCTCCATCTGCCTTAGTCTCATCAAGCCATGTTGCAACGCCCCGACAAGTCCTATAAGGATAAAATACACCGATTACTTGGAATTGAGAGATAGTCTGATTTCTAGTGTATTTATATTAAAAAACAAGATAGCCCAGTAGATTTTAATTGATTTTAACAGATTATGTACTTTAATAACCATTTGACAATTTGATTCTTTTCAAATTATCATTTGCAATTTCTTGGACAACTGAATATAAAAAACAGATTAAAAATACAATTTTCTTTGTGTTTATTACTTAGTTGCTCCAATACTAATATGCTCTCTAAAATCTTTGGTGTCCATATCCGTATTATTCCAGATTTCCGTTCCATTTTCAGGATCAACAGCAAATAATTGGTTTCTTGCGGTGCAGAAAATTAACAAGTCCCTGTCTTTAAATGAGCAGAGGATACACTTTATTTTTCTTAAGTGATTAAACTCTCCATGGATAAATTAAAGAAAAATATTATTTTACCTTTTCCAGAGCCATCATCGATAAAAACTGGTGTACTTTGGTGAACGTATTTCCCATCAGTGTCATGGGCTTTTGTAAAATTCCATGCTTTGTTAATATATTGAATATTTTCCTTTGTTATATCACTAAGAGGTGAATATCTTAAACCTTCATTTGTGTTGGTATACTGGGGCCAATAAACTATGAATAATACAATAATTGCAAGTTCAATGTTAATAAAAGAAACGAACTTACCAGAGCCTGGTAAAGCGCAATAAAGTTTAATAAGGCAAAAAATTAATAAATGTTTAAAAGTCATCTTGTTTCTTAGTAAAGTGGAAAGGATAAGCCTTTTATGGAAATTTTTTGATAAGAAACTGATTAGTAAAAAGATAAGCAAAACACGTAAAACTCCTTAAAGATAAAATAAAAAGAGAATCTATTACAGTAGAGCAAATGGAGCTCTACCTATAATTTCTAATTAAATAAAATTACTGTTACATCCTATTTACAAAGAAGAAAGTATATATAGTTATGTATTAAACAAGTTATCTATTTTGTATTTATCATAATAAGAGATAAGTAAATTTGTAAACAGCCGACTAACTCGTTTAAGAGAGATTATTTATATCTTTTTGTAATAAATAATAAAATAATAATTAAAATGCGATAGTCTTTCGGTTTTACAGTAGAACTTTTTAATAGAGCTTGTTTTTATTGGAGAGTAGTTATCAGCTTTGCAGTTGAAAACTTTAACTTTCTATATTAGAATGCCAATATAATAATAAAACTTTAATCCACCTGACTAAAATCTTTATGAGCATTAACGGACCAGATAATTAGAACGGTAGATAATTATATAATGTATATTTTATATAATAAGCATAATAATACCAATCCGCTTAAAATCAAATACTGAAATATTTACCAAGGTTTTACACAGACACTTACACTTTTAGAATATATACTGTACATGTTACTTTTTACCTAAATTAAAAATACCACAGAATCATCATCATTGCAAAAGCTAACATATAGCTGAAAAAAGATAAGAAAAAAACTTAACGTCTATGAAAAAGATAAATAGTTGCAAAACAAAATAAATGAAGACTAGGAAGGAGAGTGGAATCTAAAAGAGAGATTTGCAAGAGAAAGAGTTATCAAACAGCTTTATAAATTAAATTGATCGAAGAAACAAGAAAGACATCTCGCTTCTTTTTATTATATATAAGAACGTTATATACTGTGTTAAGGAGAATACGAAAGGTTACTTTTTTTACATACTTAATTGTTTTTAGTTTCCTTAAAAAAACGGCATGCTTTCAACAAAATATCTTTGTTATTATCATTATTTTTCTTCTTAACTGTTTCCGCCTCGCTTCCTATATTCCTATATATATATATGTATATGTGTCATTGTACTCTACATATCCATGTATACATTTCTTATTTATTTGCAAGCGATAAATCTTATTTTTCTTGAAATGTACCATTCTTCTTATGTCTTCGATAGTATTAAATCTTTTAATTAATTAGTTACAGCAGATTGATATTCCTGAAAAAGATTATATCAATTAGATAACGCGTTGGTTAGACAATTCGACTGATTCTTCTAAGAGGAAAAGAGAGAGATTGAGTAAAATTGGATAAGAGAATACAAGATATAATGATTGAAAGAGAAAGCCGAGAAAAAAGAGGTTAAGTAAAGGAAAATGAGCTTTTAGCGAAAGATATGTTTCACAAAGATTGTTTCAAAGGTAAATATTTATTAATCAGTGTATTTTTATATTATCTCATTAGTTGTCCTGATATCTTAAAATTAGTTGAAATATGCACAAGGTTTTCGATAGAAAATGGGGAGAAATTTATTATTCTCAATGAATAAAAAGCTTCATTAATTTGTCTCTATGTTTAATGATAAAAATAAGAGTTACATGATAAGATTATGCATAAAGTAAAAAATTTACTGAAAAAATCCAATACGCCAGAGACACCTAGGGTAAGGCTTATTCCTTTTTCTACAGTTATCTTCCGGCATGAGAAATTCAACAGTTGAGGCGAATAACTCAACTAATTTCCATAGATCTAATAGCATACTGATATTGATAATCAACAGCTTGAATTTGTATGGTTTGCCCATCATATGTATTGTTGGTTTGGCAGGTAATTGTTTATCTATTATAATATTCTCGTCTAAAAAATTCAAGCAGTTTCGGAATCAAACTTGCTCTGCCTACCTTTCTGCTCTGGCTTTTTCGGATAGTTTTATCTTGGTAACATTATTTTTATCATGGTTAGGTCTGTTCGAAATACGAATAGTTAACTATAAAGGATTTTGTCAGCTTTTACCATACATAACATTCGTCTGCAGTTTTCTCAGCACATGGATTATCTGCATTTTTACATTTGAAAGATTTTTTGCTGTTTTCTTCCCATTGAAATTAAAACTAAGGAGTACGAAGAAAGGTGCAACGAAAGTTTTAGGAGGTTTAGTGCTATTCGCATTGCTACTCTTTCCGTTTCCACTCTGGTCATATTCTGTGAAAGATGGAATATGCGTACATAAGTTAGACTATAAAGGTTTAATTGAAATAATGAACGCTATGGATGCACTAATAACACTATGTGTACCTTTTCTAATAATTGTACCATTAAATATTGCCATTGCTGTAAAATTAGCTAAATACGTTACGTTGGGAAGTCATAGATCAGTGAAAACTTATAACGAATCCAGGAGCAGGTCTATGATAACGCAAGATGATAACGAGACCGAATTACAGCCCTTAGACAACGAAGGGGAGAGTAATAATATTCATCACCAAAGGCATTCCAGAGTTGTGCAGAGGAAATCAGCAAAGTTATTGATTGTTATAGCAACAGCATTCTTTTTGTTGAGTACACCATCTTACGCTTTTAAATTATACGTAATATTAAATCAAGAGCCAAATAATCAAAAAATGGTAATAACTGCTAAAATGAGACAATTACAGGAAATTTTTCAGGTGTTGTATTATATAAACTTTGCAATTAATTTTTTCTTGTATAGCTTATCATCAAATGCTTTTAGAAATGCGTTAAAACAGCTGCTATCAATTTGTTAAAATGCAATTTCAATAAAACTTTACGCTAAATACTATTAATCTTTAGATTTATACTTTTGATGCTATAACATTAAAATATATTTCCTTTTCTCTTTTATTGTACATAGGTGTACGTTATAAGTTTATACAGTATATCTATTTTAAGCGAATTTTAGTTTTTCGTAGAGAATTGAGGTTTTATCTAGATCCATTGATCTAGATTATTTTCCCTCCAGCCGGGTCACAAGCTACCAAAACCTCCTTATTCCTCATCAGAGATTTAATAGAAAATGAGAGTTTCTACCCCTTCCGTTCTCTTCGAATTATTATTGTTATTACTTTTTAAGTACTTCGTTTCAATTAATTATTAGTGCCATTATTACTAAATCATTTATTATAGCTTAGAATAGTTGCTAATTTCTGTTATTATAATAAATAGTCTTTTCCAGCAATGTTTCCCTCTTGTTTTAACATTTTATTCCCAAGAAGTAAAAATTCTTGTTCATAGGCTTACTAAGAGTAAATTTCTCTTTTTTTTTAATTTCTTATACGCATTTAATATATAAACATTCTATTTTAGAAATAAATTATGTTTACGACCTCTTTCCCTGACCTTAACTTTGCCTTTTCTACTAAAACATAATTTAATACTTTACCATTAGTAAATGAAAATAGAAAAGAGAAGATAAAGAAAACAAGTAATGAAATCATTATGACAGACTTATAGGAAGAAGAGAAGGGCGAAAGTTTAATATATTTTTTCTTCTCTCTATCATATCAGAGTGTCTTCGAAAGGTAACTGACTTCATTAATTAGCAATTTGTAATTAAAAGGGGATCACATCAGATAACTTTACTCTAGTTCTTTATATAAAACAGTTATAATTTTATAATTCATAGTATTTTTAGTTTAAGAGTCTTAACAATTTCTATTTTAATATACAGAACGGATATCTATTTTAAATATGTAGACTAAAATATCTTTAGTCTTCTATCATTTGGAAGGAATTGCATGATAAAAGTATTTCCTCTCTTTCTTCTCCACTTGACAGGCAAAATACTGTTTTTTTTAAATTAGACGCTTTAATTGTACAGAATAAGGGAATAAGGAGTAATAAAAACGATTTATGAAGCAAGTTTTATTTAGTTTAGATCATTTCTGGAAGTAATAGGCTTATATATGATATATATAACTGTATATAGCACTTTATAATATATTTTGAGCATGCATTATTATATAACTATAATCTGTGGTAACCTACTTCCCATATAATTTTCATACCCAATCAGGCAATTTTACGTCTTAAGGTCTGCTAAATTCTAAAATCTCTTGAGTAAACTTGAAATTTAAGAGGAGACAGGCAATTTCTGGCGTAAGCGGATATTGTTATCTTATCTGCGTTGAGAAGCTTATTTGTGCTGTACAATAATATCCCAGAGGAAGGTAAAAGACAACGAATAAATCCCATTTTTATTCCATAATTACAAGAGTAAACCTATAATTAAAAATAATTATTTCAGGAAATGATGAATCCCTAATCAGACAATATAAAAATAGGACTTATAATATACACTATAGTATTTATAAAATATTCGGCTTGTTAGCTAACATGCATAATTACAGTATTAAGTTAATCGCTAATAGGTCATCCAGAAAATATGATTATACTTTTTAATTCTTTAATTAATATTCATCATTACTTGAAAATTTAATCCCAGAATGAAATTAAATACTCTTTTAATTAAAAGAAGACTTTTCTTAAGTAATCTTAAATCATTGTAACTGATCAAGTAAGTAGGAAAGATAAATTGAATGAAATGAATAGATCTAATTAGATATTAACTTAATGAATAAAAGGAACCTTAAGGGAAAGCTAGACTGAGAGGAGAAGTGATTGAGTTATTCATATAAAATTTTAATATACATATTGGAAAAAATGATCTAACTTTTATCAGATTGTGAAGAAATGTATACTACAGAAACTGAATTATAACAATAACATATAATTAACATTCTCGTAAGTTGAAATTTCCTGCTAATATATATTCAAATACGTAATTATTAATAGGATTCTTATTGTACCCTAACCAATTTAAATAACCTTCTGGTATTGTCTGCTTTGACTATTAAACAACAAAATAAAATCGGTCAAATAATTTAAAATAGTTACAGAGAAAAGTTTATTATACATTTCAGCGGTTTTGTAAGTCAGTGGGACTAAATGAAATTGTGTCACTGTATTTCTTTAAACCTTAAAATATTTCGATTTCCATTATCAATTCATATTGTTTTCTTTAACTTTACGACTATTGATTAACTTTAAATTAACGTACAGATGGAACTTGTATTTTTAACTTTATTATGTCAAATAGTCAAGAATAATGAAAAACTTTGTCACGCAAGAATTAAACTTTTACTACCTATTTTCAGCTGACTATGCATAAAACACAATTTTCTTGGAAGTAGTTACGTAATCAATTGCATATTGATATAGTATTATTATTTTGGTTAAAAACGCTTTCTTATTAAAATAATCACTAATTAAAAGCTAATATATGATCTTTATTTTATTTATCTCAATTATTGTAATCTAAAATGACCTTAATTTGCAAAATCATACACTACTCGCCAAAGATAAAGATAGAATTGTAAGAAGAAAGAGAGGAAAAGGCGTTGGCGTATTAACTTTATAAAAGTCTCAAAACGCATTTTTCTATTTAAATTATTCAATTTAAATAATAAGCTTAAAGAAGGGAAAATATACACAGCATGTTATTTATCATCGTCAGGTACAGTGTGTTATAGAAAAACCTAAATATACAGTATTAGTATACTGTATATATATATATATATATATATATATATAGAGAGAGAGAGAGAGAGAGAGAAAAGTTATTGTAAATTTCGTAAATTTTCAATATTAACAAATATGTTCAATCTATTTTGTCGTTAGAAAATTACTTTATATTTACTATTTAGACCTTTAGACAGTAGGTCGTTGTTTTGATAATTGGACGAAAAATTAATGCCCTCTATAAAATCTATATAATAAATTGATTTTATATCATTCTTTGTAAAATAGAAATCATGTTTAAACTTTATAAAAATACTCAACTCTCTCTCTCTCTCTCTCTCTCTCTCTCTCTCTAGAGACACACTCCTAATTCCTATTAGTGGTGCCCTCTCTATTTTAAAAAATTGAAACTATATTCTATGCCTTTAAAAAGAATGGTCTTTGATTTTATCGAGTTTACTTAATATAAAATTAAAAAAAAGAAACGATCGATCACCTTTAGACTGTGATTAATCATAGCATCTATTTTTATTCTACTAACGAAAAATGACCCAATATATTGAATGAGGCTTGTCTGCTAATTACTATTATAATTAGCAGTAATGTTAAATATTTTGTTTCTCGTCAATTTCGGTGATTTATGGGTGAATGGTAAATTTTTAGGCCATATTGAAAAAGGAATACGCTAAGAATAGTATACATTGAACTGGCCTATAAATTGCTCAAGTACTGTATTCAGAATTTCGTTTCTTTAAATGAATTTTTAAAAACAATGTTATTGACCTTTCTTCTTTGAAAATGCGCTTTTCATTTCATAATAGGATTGCAAAAGTAAAAGTGCAGGTATAACAACCCATATCCCATTATAGAATACCATATAAACCCAGAGATAGAGCCAGTTATTTGTTGCTAAATTGGGAGATCCTAACAATATATCTGGTACAAAAGTCATCCAACCACCATAAATTTCTCCAACGCATAGAACGACTTGTAAGAAATGCCTGTAATGCTTATTTTTAACTATTGCGTAGACTAATACTAAGCACATTGGTCCTTCTACGAAAACAGTTATAATCTCTAATGAAACTATACAAGGGTCTAAGATTAGCCATCTAGCATCAGCTTTGCCATATTCTTTCCATACTAGTGAAGTCCAATGAGTAGATTTTTCAACAGTTGTTGTAAGTGATAAAATAACGAATGATAACTCTAAACTTAAGTGTATCATTGCGTCCCAGATTAACCAAAAAATTACAAATTTGTCAGTTTTCCTTACTGTTTTACTTATTTTATTGGTAATAAACCATGCTCCAATTGCCATGGCAGCCGTAGCAATCATGGATACTATGGAAACTTGGTTGATTATCGGTTCCGTTTGATCGTCCATTCCTTTTCTTGCAATTCTCTTCTATTAACTCTGAAAACAGAAGAAATTTTCTAACCAAAGCTCATAAATTTAGACACTCAGGTGATTTTCTTTCTATTTTCTGTATTTATAGACAACTGATATCATATCAGAATAATTCATGTCTATTTTTCAGAACAGTTAAGATAAGGATCAGATTACAGAAATTTCTTTATCGTACGATTGAAATATAACGCGACCTTAAAAATTATAATATTAAGCGATAATATAGCAAATTGAAGAACATTTATGTAGTTTCCTTCTACATTATTGATATAGTAGTTCTTTTCTCTGAGAAGACAGCAAGGTAATTTATTAATATTGACGCGAATCAGAATACTAACTACGCTTATGTTAAATAAATAAAATATAAATTAAAATTTAAATCTTATTGTTACCAGTTGTCTCTCAAGAAGGGTGTCATGAATGTTTTATTTTTTTTTTTTGTTTGTGCTATAATAGCAACAGGTTTTCACATTATTCAACTAGATGTTGTTTTCCATTTCAATATATTCAATCATTTATCACTTGTCACAAAACAATTAAAGTAAGATTCAATTGAAATATGAACTTTAAAAAACAAGCTAAATTAGCAGTAATCAAGTTTAGTGTGACCATATTCTAAAATACTAAAAGTATTCTGAACTGTCATAAAAATTGGTTCATTTTGACTATTACATTGCAATAAGCATAAACTATTTAATTGATAAGATAAAACAGCACAATTGTTCTCTTTTAGCGCATTGATACATTTATGTAATGAAATATCAGTTAGTTTTCTTGTTGGATTCTTTAATAGATGGGAATAAACCGCTTTGAGGACTTTCAATTTACATTCATATGTTACCGATAACATCTTCACCTTGCCAGGGCAAGTATCCCCAAAATTTGAATTCGTAGCTTTTACAACAAGCTGAGACTTTTCTTGAAACGTTTTAAGTTTTTCCGTAATATATTTCCCACAGTTTTTTTTTCCATAATATCCACTGACAATCACTAAAAGGTTATCATCGGGACACGTTACTTGTAGTTTTCTCCCCTCTCGAACCGTTTCCGATAATCCATAGCATTGATATATTCCTATCAATAAAAATTGATAGAGAAAGAAATTAAACAAATCAAAAAAGTGGAGAATAAAATGAAATTCTTACCTGTAAAGAGAATCAGAGCAGAAAACATTAACTTATTATTAACTTTATTTATACAATTTTCTTTCATTTATTGTACTATTATAGTAACTTTATTGACAATTATACAATATTGGATGTCTGACATCAAAATGTGTTTTAGACAATTTGCCAAAGGAACCACCTAGAATGCTCAAAAATATAGTTCAAAATCTTCTTTGGGTTTTACATATGCTCTGAATGATCAAATATCAGTGTAGGTAAAAGCTATATATAATATATAAAGCTATAGTGTACTAAATAATATATAAATCTATTGATCTTTCTTACGAAAGTTCGTAGACGTTATACTGTAAAATTACGAAAGATCCAGGTAGGACTATGTAATGATTTCTATGAATATCTTTTATATATACACTATATACAGTATATACAGTATATATATATATGTACATACTGTATAATTACACCGTAAATCTATCTAGAAAGTTTATCTTCTTATTTAAGTATCTGTATATTATTTTAAATTTAATTTAAAACTGTTATTTGCCCAAATGGTACTTGTATTACCAATTTTCAACAAGTTTTCTATATATAGGTTGTACTTAATACTCGGTAGAGTATTAATTTTCAACTATCAATACTTTTAGTAGAAATCTGAAAGTTTGTTACCATTAAAATAACCTGTGAAATATTATTAGTCAAGTAACAACTAGTTTCACAGTTTATTTAACTAATACACTTTTTTTTGCCAATAAATACAGAAACATGACTGCAAAAAAATTGAAAATTATAAATTTATCCATCTTCTTGGCTTTCTTCTATGGATATGGAGATTGTAGAAAGATCTTTCAAGGCTATCAGAATTATACAACGTATAAAACTGGAACTTTGAATGTTATCCTTACTGTTCCTCATGGTGGTTCTATGAAACCTTCGTCAATTAAGGGTAATACCATAGCATATCTTTAAGTTTATGCATTATTACTATTATTAATGATAATCCTTCTCTTTTCAGATAGAACTATTGCCTGCGCAAATTCCGAAGGACAATGCACATGGAAGACTGATTGCCATCAACCGACTAGCAACTGCACTCCTCTTGTTGAATCAGACTATAACGTTCAGTTACTAGCTGATACTATTTCCGAGAAACTGAAAGACATAACCGGAAAATATCCCTATATTATTCAAACTGAATTGAAGAGAAACAAGTTAGATCCGAATAGAGATAAACCGGAAGCTACACTTTTCGATCCAGAAGCTATTAAAGCTTGGAATGATTTTCAAAACTATATTAAAGAGGCCAAAAACGAAATTAAGAAAGGCCTTCTTTTAGATATTCACGGTCAGAGTCATATAGAAAAGTGGATCGAATTATCATATTTTGCCAAAATTTCTGAAATAAATTCAGATCAATTGCAATCTGATAAGTCATCGATTTATACCATGTCTAAAAGATTTCCGGAAACCAAATTTAATGAATTGATTTACGGCAATGAAAGTTATGGTGGTTTGTTGGAATCTAAAGGCTATAAAGTTGTACCAAGTCCTTCTTATAAGAAGCCTGGTTCAGGCAATTATTTTCCTGCTTATTATATAACAATGGAACACGGTTCGATGAAAGGTGGAAATATCGATGCCATACAAGTGGAAACACCCTTCGCTTATAGAAGGAATCTCACCTATATTTCTAGATATGCGGAGGACGTTGCCAGTGTTACCGTTGAATTTTTAAAGAAATATTATGGTTCTACATCTAGTGGAGCGGAAAGAGTTCTAATTTCTATTCCCAGTATGATTCTTTTTATATCAAGTTTTATAATGCAGCTCATAGATTAGATATATCCTCTGAGAGAGGGATTTATCGGGTTTAAAGAAAATGAGTAGTGTGTCGGGGAGGAGGAATATCATACAAACAAAATAATAATAGCTATACTCTATTTGGATTTTATCTAGAATGGGAGATGGAGGAGGAGAGAGTTAGGAGGAGATAGAGATTAAAAGAAAGTAGCAAATATTTTAGACTTAATACACAGTAGCAATTGGAATAAAAAATTTGTTTTATTTAAGTTAATGTGTAGGAGGAAGCCTAAAATATTAATGAAATACAACTCTCTTTTTCCATTTCTTCTTACTTTTGCTCAGATTCATTTTTGACATTTTTTAGTTTTAAATAATTTCCTATTTTTCTCTTTTAAATTAAAAATAGAAAAGTATTATTTAAATAAGAAATTAATTACTTTTTCAATTGATTTTAATACGAATGTAAATGATAGATAGGAATGCAATTTGATAAAAAAAACAAATTTCTTCAACTAGGTGGGAGTAGTGTTTCGGTTCAAAGAAAATGTAATTGAATATAGTTTAAAAGAACATGGACAAAACTATCTTAATTTCAGACGCAAATTAAATTTACTATATTTATTCAAGTAGTCTTTTTATTATATTAAATAAGGAGGCTTTCTTCTTTGAAAAGCCATTCATAGAGTTCTTATATAATACTTGTATATTATATTGTATTTACCATATAATTATATAGATTAGTGATAATAAAACTATAGTTTATAAATCAATTATTGTATTCTTGCATTATTCATTTATTGGAGAGATTCAAATAGAAATAAGCCACCTTTTTCAGCCATAGCACCGTCTTTTTTGCAATAGCAAGTTATGTACAGTTTTGTTCCTATGTGAGCAGCCATAATGGGATACTTTGCATTTTTATACTCAATTGTCTCTGGAAGCCATATTTGTAAAGTACCGCAATGATTACCATCTTTATCGTAAATAACTACTTGATTTTTTTCGGCATAGGTCGTTAAGAATTGATTATTTGAGAAACAAGTAATCGAATCATTACCTTTCAGTGATGGAAAACACTTGAGAATTTCGCCGTCTTTACCATTTAACAATTTTATAATTCCGTCTTTAGAATCAATAAAGACTATAGTTCCATTAAATAAACAAGCTACTTTAGACGCAGTAAAGGTTTTATTGGTCCAAATCAATTTCCCCCGGATATCGTATAATTGGATACAACTATCAGTTCCAACAATTAAATAACCATTGTAAAATTTCATATCACTAATTAATATAGGTTTTTCAACATTTATAAATTCAGACCATTCTTTTCCTTCATCGAGGTCGTTTGTTTTCATTATTCGATTATTCGTCAAGTCACCAACCATTAAATTTAGACAGCCCGATTTACAAACGGTAATAGACGAAAGTTTATCATTTGGTTTTGATGTATAAATTGTTCTATTAAAATCTCCATTTTGATAATAAACTTTCACTCTGCACATGTTTCTAGCCTCACTCATTAATAAATATATATGAGTTGAAAAGCTGCAAATATCTTGAATAACACCAATCTTTGGTGTTGAAAGAAATTTATCATTTCTACTATATGCATATATATCATTATTAGACATTTTTACAGTTTATACATGAAATATTCACGTATATATATATATATATTTGTGTAGTATATTCATTTATTACTAATTACACCATTTATTTAATTATAAAGCTTATACTTAATTAAAAATTACCATATTCATTAATATTATGCATTTTTTTGCCATGTTCATATAGCGATAGACTATGAAAATATCAACATTCTATTTAAAATATCCTTTTTCCTCTTCTAAAACTCTTTAACCTTTTCTTACATATTTTTATTAAATTTGATGTAATTATTACAAAATGTTAATTAATTGTACTAAATATTTCTCAGGCAATTTTCAAAGTCTATGATTTTTTTTCAAAAAAAGGCAAAGAGGTTCAGTAAAATTAGTGAAGGTTAATTTAATAAATTAATATTAGTGGTGGATGAAAAATAAGGGTCCATTACAATAAAGTTCATGACCTAATAATTATCTAATTCAATTTCTCTCTTTTTGCTACTTTTTATGTACTTCCTGCTAGGGAAACTAATGCATCGATTGATATATATCATACTTTCTTTTTAAAGTCGACGGGGAGGTAAATTGATTGATTATTGGCTCAACAATAAATTATTTTATATTTTACTCTTTCTCTCTCTCTCTCTCTCTCTCTCACTTACTCATGCACTTACTACCTGTCTCTCCCAAACTCTATCTTTACCTATTCATTCTCTTCCTTTTATTTAATTTATTACTTGAATCAAGTTTTTCTTGCCATATTTAACTAATCAATAGCAGAAATCTTATAGAAATCTGTCGCTAGTTTGCCTATCTTCTGGAAATGTCCATTAAAACTGTCCTACTGTTTACTAAAGTAAAGTCAGTAAAAACCTTTCTAAAAACCGAATATATTTTCTAAAAATATCTTAATTAAAAATTGCGTAATATTTTGTTATTAAGCTCACTAAATGCGGTATATTTATGAAAAATGTATGCATATTAAAATATACAGTGTATTGTTTATATTATGTTTGCACCTCGAATGCTCTTTTTCATGTTAATTAACTTAATGCGAAATGTAATTCCTTCGATATATCACTAATTAGATAATTGGATCAGTTAAACTACTTAATTGTCTTTTGGTGAATGTTTCTATCTTCTATAACTTATAAATGTACATTGTGTAGTATATTTCTCCTGAAGAAAACAAAGGGATTCTTAATGAAAAAGAGAAAGAGGAGGAGAGAGATAGAGAGATATGGAAAGTGAGAGAGAGAGAGAGGTCAAGAAACAGGAGAAAAAAATGAGAAACATAACGACTGAAAAGCGATTCGTAAGGTTGAATTTACGATTAGTGTATATACTCTATGTATATAGTATATTGTGCGTGAAAACTGAAATTCGACTCTATTTTTGAAATGGTAGGAAATTTTGCAGTCAAAGATAAACTAGATGCTACAATTTGCCTAACTACATTTTTATACCATTGTTATTTTATACAATAAAATTAAAATTAGGAAATATTTCGTTGGTCTAGAAAGTATATACGATTAAAATAACATAGTAAATTGATTGAAAAGCTTCATACTCTCAGCAACGTGACAGACCTTTTCACATAACCGAGACGCCCTACAGGCCAGTAATAATTAAACTATTGATTCTAAAATAGCGGTATGTGTACTAAGCCAAGTAAAATGCAAAGTACAATGAATTTATCTAGAATTCTGAAAATGATTGACATTCTGACGAAAGAGAGGGCTATTTAGAAGATGCAAAATTTTGAAGATATTTGTTGTTTCCGGTGTAAGATCAGTCTTATAAATAGAATATTTCCTTCTCAAAGAGACTGGTATTATTATTAATGGATTGTTGTTTATATATCACTTCATCAATCATCTATCAACAGTTGAATTATCAGTAATAAAGTTAGTACTATTGCTTAAGATTATTAAATTTCTTTCTCTTCATATCGAACTTGTCATATAGGCAGGGAGTTCTTTCCAAGAAAGGAAGAGTTCATTACTTTTCTCTAATTAGATTGCAAGAAAGACGCTTCGGACTGATTCGAGGATATTGTTACAGCCCTTCCTCTATAATATAATGATTGTTGATTGTAGGCGATCTTACTATTTTCCGCACATTTGTTCATTGAATTTATATCATCTTTCTCGCCCGGAGATGTTGGAACAAGGAGAAGAATGCATTGGAGGAAAACTGTTATTTTATCTAGAGAAGAACATAAAGAATAAAGTAAAGAGGACATATATCCATAGAAATTTTAAAGATTCTCTCCTTACCTATACAAACTTGAACGAATTTGAGTTTACTAACCCTTTCCCCAAGTATATATATTGGAATTGCCGCTAAATACATTAGAAATCCAGGTAGCATTGAACTCGGATTACTGTAAATAGATAACGACATAATTCCAATTAAAACTATAAACGTTACAATCGCTAGAAGGATGTTTATCTGTGTTTGTAAATTATACTGATATAGCTAATATATATATATATATATATATATATATATGGGTTTGTATATAAATGAATACATTTTACATATATAAAGAGGTATATTTGACCCAACAGATGTTAAATTAGATAAAAACAAACATAATCCTCACCTTGATAGGTCTCTCTATATTTGGTTTCGTATATCTTAAATAAAAGTAGGCAATAAAGGTGGTAAAAATTTTTAGTTGACAAGATAGAGATGCAAACTCTTGAAGTAGAGAGAGATCGGGTATGAAAGACAATAGGATAGCCGTGATGCACTACGAAAGCATATTTTTATTATAGAGTAATTTTTCTGTATTTGAAAGAGATTCTTTCCATGAATTTTATTCTCTTTTAAACTTACAACTGCAAATATACTGATAATTGGTGTGATGAACCGTACGTTAACCATATAAACGAAGTTTGGAAGTTGTTTATTGCGGGAAGCAGCAAAAAAATACCTGGAATCTGCTAAATAGGATGAATTTAAAGTACCAAGACAAGATAAGACCACTGAAATACAGATGAACCATGACACTCCACTAATGGCTTTATCCATAAAAGTCTGTATTTAGAAACAAAAATATGTATAATTAAAAAGAGGTGAAAAGGAACATTTTTTTATTAAAAAAAAATACACCATCTTTACCATAGCAACAGCAGAGGAATTGATAATTTCGGAAGGAGTCAGGATTGTTAAATAAGCCGCATTAACGAAAGTGTATACAATAGTAACAAGAGATAGTGAAATAACAATTGCAAGTGGAAGATCTCTGATTTAGGAAGAGAAATTTATGATTAAATAACTTATTAAAGTAATCTACTAACCTTTTTGGATTTAACATTTCTTCTGGCATAGTTGCCACACTTTCCCTATTTTTTAAAATATTGTTTAAGTTAAACATTCTTCTTCTTCAATTGTATAAATAATTAAAATCATACGTAGAAAACTCACCAGCCTTTGTAAGCAAAATATCCGTCTACAACAGATAAGCATAAAATGGACGGCTCAGTTGATGTGCCCTCAAATCCCTTTGATAATATGTTTGTATCACCTTCAATTATAATTATTATGTCAGTCATACAGTTTTAAATTATACTAATTGACTACTTAATATTACCCTTTGAAAATCTATATAATCCTATGACTATAATGGAAACAAGAGAAAAGATTTTAGCAAAAGTGAAAAATGTCTGTAACCTAGTTGACCAGATAACGCTTAGGCAATTAATTACCGCCAGTGTCACTATAAAAGTTTAAGAGTGCTCTTAAAGAAATATTAGGAAGGAATAATAGTTAAGAAACAGACTTACATAAACTGAATATGCCTATCAAAAGAACAATAGTCATTTGGCAGTTGCAATCAAATAGCTGTAGATAGAATATCAATTTGTTACTTAATTCACTTTTTTCATCCAACTACCTGTAAGAAGTATTCTCCAATTGTTCGGCCAACGACAGCATTAGTGCCAGCAATGCTCTGGAAGCAGTGTCCCCAAAAGACTAAAAATCCAGGTATTTTTCCAAGAATAGTATAAACATAAGTATAATCTCCACCAGAAACGGTGATTATCGTTGATAATTCGGCATATATCAAAGCGAGAATAACAGTATAGAAACCAGTTCCAGCCCAGATTAATAAGTTAGCTGCAGGGGATCCTGTATGTTTCATAACAGTTGACGGTGATATAAATATACCTATTCATAAGAAGAAAGATATTTCTATAATTAAAAGGGTTAATAAATGTTAACTAAAAAAGAAAAATCTATAAATAAACTTCATTTCTTATAAAAAGTTAAATTAAAAAAAATATATATACACAAACTTTCTCTTCATTTTCACAATAAATTAGTTTTTTTTTTCTATTCCCACGGAATATTTCATTAATAGATTTTTATATTTATTAATATATTTGCATAGATTAACATAAAACATTATGTTTTAAACAGAAGGTATATTTCACTTGTGCCTTATAAGGAAGGTCTATTGTCATCGTTTTGTTTTCTCATTATCTTACTAAGTGCCTCTAAATAGAATGGATTATATATAGTTGTATATCTTCTTTATAATTTATTACAATTGAGCTCTGAAGGAAGAATATATATTGCTCTTATTTGTTTGACAGATAAAGATATTTTTATTGTCTTATTTTAAATTTCTTATTCTCTTTTATGTTGTCTTTCTTCTCCGTTCGTCGTCTTCCACCGTCCTCATTACTTAAGGAGAACGATATAAAATAGACAAACACACGCAAACACACGCTAATATATATATATATATATGTATATATATACATGCTTATTAATTTAGATGCACAATATTAATCTTCAAGTCTAATTACGTAATAATTTTAAATAAATATATATTAATGAATCTTTACCGGAACCAACTACATTGCCTATTAGTACAGAAATAGCTCCGATGAGATTAATATGTCTTTTTAATCGAACTTCATACTCGACTTGAACGTATTGTGAATATTTTCTCTTTCTCTTTTCAATATTTCTTCCCTTAACGGTAGAAAGTAGTGGGCGTCTCTCCTCTGCCATTTAATTTTCTCCTCGAGATAATCTTAACAATAGAATATAAATACATATATAAAATGTATAGAAGATTTAAAGAAGAAGTTGTTTCTTATTCAAAGATTTAATCTATTTTGATAGGAGCTTTCCTTTATATAAAGCCTACTTGTATTCCTCATGGTTCAATGGTAAGATCATATTTACAAGAAAATACAATCAAAATCTGTTAACCTTCAAAGGTCTAGCATTGAAAACTAGAAGGTTATTAACACTCAATTCTACTTTTTTTTCTTTTGTACTACATTATTGAACTAGTTGATCGATGGAGAGTAACGGAATAGGAGACGTTTTAGTAGATTACGAACTATTCAGTCTAGTACGTTAGCCAATACTAGCTAATAGTTGTGCATACAGTTAGATTACCAAGTGTATGGATTGTATTTAAAGAATTTACGAGTTAGCCTTTGAGTATTTGATACGAAAGAAGGAGGTAAATTTTTTGTGTAAATAAGCAAAAAAAAAAAGATATACTGTATGTTGTATACTGACAAGAATAAAGGTTTATATATATATATATATATATATATATATATATATATATATATATACCGTATATAGCAGTATACATGATATAGAGTGTTGTATATCATATATATCGCTCAGTATATTATATATAATATTTAGAGGATAATTGATTATTAACCATTAATAAGCATCAACCTAAGATCAAAACGAATAGGCTACAGTAACGAAATACAGAACATATTTTACTTTAAGTACCAATTTATTACACAGTAGCGAAAAAAATTACTAAAAATCAGTTGCCTCACGTGACCAACAATGTTTTTTCTATGATTTCAATTAAAATTGAAGATAGCAACCTTCTAACATATTATACAAAATGCAGGATGTTAAAATATAATGATTTTAAATAACATAGATCGTTGAAATAGTTGCTCTTCTCCTTTATTTTTTTTTTTACTCCTACTTAAATGGGTTACTACGCTTGCAGAAAAATCCTCTGATCAAATGCACCACAGTTTATAATATTACAAGATTCCACTCGGCAATTGTTTATCAAACTTGTCTAAAAGAAAGAAGAAATAACGAGTAAGGAGAGAAAAATTTAAGACTTTATCTTCTCTCAACGAAAACATTTTCTAAGAAAAAGAGGAAATTTAATTTAAAAAAAGGGAAGAAAAGAGTAAGGATAAATGAAAGTTGGGTGCCCCATTACCATCTCATGTCTAAATGAGCCTATAAGGCATGGAAACTACTCTTTAATTCGAGAAATTCTAGTACAGCACCGATAAGGTTCCTTAGTTAATCGTTATTTTCGAAAATAAAATTAAATTTGAGGACAAAGAAGATAGAACTTGGAGAAAATTCTAAAAAACCAACGACGTATAGCTATCTTTTTCTTCATCTCACAACACGCTGACTCTGGGAGGACGCATATTTATCAGTGATGAAGAAGTCTTCGATATAGTACAAAAAAATAATTTAGAAATTAACCTACTTAATTATTTATTTTCTTCAAAAGCCCTCTTTCAGCGTTCTTTCAAGTAAAAGGATAGGGATAACATCAGAATAAATACATTTTAATGAAAATTTCGGTATAGTTTAATTGACCCAAAAATAAGAATAAACCTCGATACTGCAAAATATAATATACACGGTATACTGTTTACTTGTATACATCCATTTATAAATTACACATAATTCATATATACTTTTATGAATTTACATGGAAAGTTTGAAATGTATGTTCAACTGAGCTTAGACAAAATAGGATATGTCAACCACTTCCGGTTCCGCGGGACTATCTTCAGCCGAAAATGGAGATTCTTGATTTAGTCCGATAGTTCCTATAACAATATCAGTATTTGTTGTAATCTTTTGCACTCTGTTCACAGTAACTTTAAACTTAAGAGTATAATATAAATCTATCAGACTGCAAGATTTTAATCCAGTTGGTGGTAAATCCAATGGGATTTTAATTTTCTCTTTCCATCTATCAGTAGATCTAGCTCTTACTTGACCTTTGCTAACCATAGCCAGTGTCTTTCTTTCATGGAAGGTCTTTCCAGACTGGTCGTAATACCTGACATTCTAGGAAATATTTTAATAAATTTTTATTGTCCTTTCTAAATTGAAAAATCTATTTATTCTCTTTTATTACTTGCATTAAAACTACTTTAGACCGTTTAGTACTTCTGCCGCTATTATTCTTAACTTCACCTTTGAAATGTATTGTCTCACCCGGGAGATAGCCAATCCGTTCTAAATACCAACTACAAACAATCTGTCCTAGTGTACAACACATGACAGTTTGATGCTCCTCACTATTCAATTCAACTGGTGTCTAAAGAACAATAATTATTAATCAGATGTAGCAGTATTCAAGGAAATTGAATTAAGTTTCAGTTACCATCATTTTTGGCAGAGAATTCAAGTCAACAACACTCGTTATTGTAATTCTCTTTTTAACAGTATGATTATGCTTCCAAGGCCTTTCAAGCTTTACCCTCGCCCAATATTCTATTCCGCCGTGTTCAGCCAAAAAAGTTGAAGGTAAAACGTTTGGTAATTGAATTCTAAAGGGATATTTATGTGTCCCGGATTGAACCAAAATTTCATTTTCCTTTTCCCCTAAATGTATAGTATTTTTTCAATAAGAGATTAGTAATGTACAAGCAAGCTGCAGGAAATTAAATAATAGCAAAGAGGGCAATTAACTTTCCAGGCCTATTAAGTTTAGCCTACTTTATATTGGTTGCATGGCGACCGTTTTCCTTTATATATATTTTTTTATGTCTGTAAAAAAAAAATTCCCCTTCCAACTTTTTCCTTATAAATATTGTACAAACGAAATATCCTTATCAATAGCGTGCAGTGTAGGGAAAAGGCCTACAAATATTATACTCGCTGTATATTAAAATCTTTCGTGCTATAAGTTCATATATCATTTCTCTTCTTTTTTTTTTCCTATAAGAATTGAAATATATACGCTAGAAACTTATATTTAAGCATATTATATAAAGAGATATATACAGTATATACAGAATACATGTACATTACTATACATCTCTTGCATGATATATATATATATGATAATTTAATATAGGAAATATCTTAGGAGCGTCTCCTAACAACCAATTCTTTTTTCCCATATTTCATAAATATAATTAAATTCTGTTAGACAAATGAAACAAAAACTTAATAATAGAAAGAGAAAAAAACAAGATAAAATTGATTTTTATTCTTTTTCCTAATTGTTGTTATAATTTTAATAAATAGAGTTTGGTTCACAAAATATCGTTTATCTACTGCATTCTTACTCTAAAACGTAAAAATATTATCTATATTCGTTTGTTTGTTGTAAGCCTATACAGGAGTAATTTTTCTACGTTTATAAATAGGTAAATAATTCTTGGTGTTTCTTTCATTAAAATCTTTTTTTAATAAAGGAATATAATACAAATTTATGCGATATCTTTGAAATTCTTTCAAATACTTTCAAAGAATTAACTGAAGAGAAAATTAACCTTGTTTGTATAGTATTTGCCTCTGATTAAGGTAGTCTTCTTCAAGAACGAATGGATGCCTGGGTTGAGATCTCTGGGAAGAATCTGGTCGTGGCCATTTAACCTTGGCATAGCCGTATAATTCTAAAGTTAAGGCTATTGGAGAAAAAATAATAATCTTGAGGAGAAAAAGGAAAAGAAATATCCTAAATTATTGATCAAATTCTTTATTTTTCTGTCTTGGTCTAATTTCTCTTTATTTTTCTCTTTCTGTCTCTATCTCTCTCTCTTTTTCCTTCCATTCTTTCTGTCTATTTTTTGCTCCAATAATCTATATTTTCTATATCTCTCTCTAAATTTTTTCTGTCTCTATTATGCTCTCTCTCTCTCTTTCTCTGTTATCTTATTCTCATTATTTTTTTTTAATTGCTGAAGGAGAAGTGGCATTTGTTCTTATATAGTAAGGTATACTAACATTCTATGACGAGATCATCTAATAATTCACATATTACATTTCCGCTAACTTCTTCACCCTCTATGTAACTTGAATCGTTAAAATTTATGTAGAGTGATATTTCGTCCGCCATTAGAAGCAGGTAGTGCTGAAAATATTTTTCAGCTTAGAAAAGCATATGAAGCCTTTATTTGCATTATTCTTACTTGAATTGGCCTATAGGCCAAAGAGTGAAAAAGGGTTTTACGGTAGGCCTATATATTTTTACATTCTTATTAATGGTTACAACTGCATCATCTCGGATGAATTGATGAATATTAATGAATAGAAAGATAGTTTTTTTTCTTATTAAGGGAAATATATAAGGAATAAGGATTTTTGCCTCTTTACAAGATGAAGCAACGTCTATTTCTATCCTGTCTATTCTCCCTTTGACCATTATACAGGCCGTATCCTTCCGTCCGAAATAGGCTTAAATAGTTCAAAGGTTTCGTTAAAGTTGCGAAATATTTAATACGAATTCTAAAGAGACTTAAAAGAATATTGAGAAGTCAAAGAAGGAGGAAAAGCAATGGCAGCAGAAGTAATAGGAAGAAAGCTGTGTCATCTGGAAACCTATTCGATTTAGTAATTCCTATGGAGTTTACCTTGTCTATAAAATGAAAATTACTGTCGATTTGTAAGATGTATATATACATATGGCATTATATACAACAAAACCAATATATCAATAAACATATACTATATTAATTAATGTTCTCTTAATCGATTTCTTGATATTTATGTGTTTTTCTTCTATCAACATGAAAATTTATTACCTTTACCTAATTATGAAATATTAATATTTAAGAATTTTATTACAGAAATTACTAATAATTACATAATATTACTTTTAATACCGCAACATAAAAAGAAAGTTTACGAATACAATTTGATAGATATATAGAGGAGAGCGAACACGAAATATCGCCACAGATACCGCATAACTGTATACAACTATGTATTGGTATAGGGCTACTATCTTTTTTAAGCATACTCTATATCAAATTTTACAATTGATGACAATTACTTTTGAATTTTAGGCTTAACTTCTTTGTGTTTAAAGTTTTCTGTTTTTTTTTTGTTTTAAGCCGATCAAATGTAAAATTCTACTTTCATAGATAGATTGAAATAGGGAATAAGAAATATGATATTATATTAAAAAGAATAGAAATAACGTTGGTTAGAAAGCAAAAGAGAAGAAATGGAGGAAAGAATGTAACGGTTTTTTTAGAGTTTAAAAATAGACTTATCAACTAAAATAAATCTAGACAACTCGACGACTAATAAACGTCATCTTCTTTAGTTTTTTGTCAAGAGAGTATTTAAACATAAATTGAAAATGGAATGTTTTCGTTCTAAATAATTTGTTTCTCTTGTAAATATGTTTAAGAATAAGAAGAACATGATAGAGATCATCGGTACAACAGAGAGCGACAGAGGAGCAGTACGAAAAGAGGAAGGTAAAAATATATAAAGATTTCATTTAGTATCAATATTTTTAGTATATAACAAAGGAAAAATAAGAAATTTCTATATTACATAATTATTTAATACTTAAAAAGATTCTTATTTAATTTACTAAACAATTGTTAATGGTATCTTCTTTTTCGTCCAACTTTTTTTTTATCTTTTCTCTTTTCTTTATCATGCTGTTTCTATATTTTCTTTTTTACATATCTTTCGCTTTTTGTTTGTTTGAACAATTGTAATGTTTGTTAGAGAAAGAGGAGGAAAAAAGAAACATTGTATTAGATATATTTTACTTAGTTTAACGTGTCAGATAAAGTAAATGAATGAAATAGGAGAAAAAGGGAAAAGTGAATGCAAAGTTGTAATAATTATCTTAACTATTCCATTTCAGTTTTTTAACACAAGAATAATAAGATTTTGTTTAAAATGCAAAGATGATGAAAGTAAGTATAGATATATATATAGTATATATTTCTTGGTTGATATTACGTAATAGGGGAATAGTTGATAGTTGTTATATATTTTTTTCATCTATTTCTCTATCATCTAAGGTCTCGTTATTTGCATTTATCGAATGGCTTAATCAACGAGTTTATGGGTGAATTAGGAACGCTAATATACACTATTATTTTTCATATGTATTGTATATATACAGCATTTATGTACACTAAGGCTTATGTGCTGTATATATATATATGTGTGTGTGTGTATATATAGTTTTCCTAATCATAATGATCAATTTAAAGATAATTTTTTATTTTGAATCATTGAGAGTTTTCAGGATATTACTTGCAAAGTTTAATACATTTTTATCGATTGAACAAAAATTAACGGTCATTAACAATACTAGATATGGCTAATTTGGTCGAAAGAAAATCATGTTCAACCAGTAAATTATTTGAAGACATGAAAACAAAGAAACGACAACAACCAGGTGCAATTTGCTTATATTTAACAAAATGTCTGCTAAAAGACGCCCTACATCAGCGCCGTCTAACAGTATAAAATTCTTACTGCAAAAATGCTATTTTGTAGTCTCGCAACGAACGCTCAACATATCATTTCCAAGCTCAACGGTTTTTAATATCCTGTATTACTCTCATGCAGAATATGACAAACGTTACCGAAGCGGTATGGAATATGTCCGTTTTTAAAAAGACTCTTAAAAAGGAAGTTGTCGATACTTTTTATTCAATTTTCCTCATCGTCGGTTTTCTTGGGAATATGTTAGTGATATTAGCTATGGTTCGATTTGAGAAGTTTAGAAACAAATCCATAGCGAATGGCTATATACTGAATTTGGCTTTCGCCGATATGCTTTTCATCCTTACAATGCCTTTTTTCATTGCTAGTACCAACAAACATTGGGTTATGAATAGTGCCTTATGTAAAATGGCGAATTTTGCTAAGGAATTGAATAAGTTTGCCAGCGTATTCACGCTGGTTGTATTGAGTTTCGATAGATATTTGGCTTCTTTTCCAGATAGGGAAGTGTAATGGAGTAATCGAAAATAATGATATATAGTCATTATGATAAAAAAACCAAAGGATTATTAATCGAACAAGCAAACAAAAAAAGAAATAAAACATGCAAAAAAAAAAACAAAATCCGATCGGAAAACGAAATTTCTCTTCCATTTATTTATATTTAGTTTTGTAAAGAGGAAAGTAACAATTGTTTTCTTTGTTTCTTATTTATTTTTTCTTTTTTAACTAACTTTGTCATTGTTCTAGACCTCTTTTTCATCATTTCCTTCTCATTTAATTTTCACCTCTAACTCTACCATTTTCAACAGTTGCGTTTTTTCGTTTTCCCTTTTATTTCTCTGCCTTCTCTCCTTTTCTTTGCTTTTATAATTATTCTTTTAATTTCATCCTTTAATTAAACCCTGCTTCTCAGCTTAATTATTTTGTATTAGGAGATGTTAATACTTGTAAAGAAAAGAAAATCACCGAAAATTGATGTCCAATATCAATTTTATTAAAAATTTAGCGGAAATTTGCTTAATGCAAAGGTTAAATGTTTAATTTTTAGTAAAATTACATAATACGATCAGATTTATTAGCTTATAGTAACACCTGTATTTAGAAATGTATATACCCCAGAGGATAGCAGGATATTGATATACAATAGGTTGTTTTATCGTACAAATTATATTTATATATTGGTATTGTCTTGTACGATTCGTTAATTTCTTTTAAGTGAATCTAATTTGGCAGAAAATTTAATAATAGAAGTCAAGTAGCAGTATAGTAATGCTATATGTACAAATTTTACATAACAAATATACAGTATATGTATATTATATACCTGTACATGCAGTGTATATATTTGTATATATATATATATATATATATATATATATATACAAATTTCATCTGGAGATGATCTCCCGAAAAAAACATATGCAATTAATAAGAAAACGAATTCACTTTTTTATCTGTAATGGGCTACACCTGCGCTCTAAAATACCAACTTTATCTCTTTTCTGTATTCGTGTCAGTAGAACTAACTTTTATCTTAACAAATTCTTTTTACCTTTTTATGTTTTTTATTTTTACTAAGAAAACAATTAGATTATATTTAATTTTCTATATCGGATTAAACTGATCATTAAACTTGATATTGGAGGGGGAGAGTAAGATGCATTTATAGATATGAAAATAGAGAAGGCATTACCCTAAATAGACAGTTGTTTACAAATATATCTATATATACTGTATATATATATATATATATATGAAAATTGAGGAATTTTTTGTTGAAATTTTTTTACCCTGCTCTACTTAGCTATATATCACGGATTAATCGGTTAAAGAAAATAAATTATAACTCCTTATTGTGATTTTCTTACAAAGGTTGCACGGTTATTCTCTAGCACTATTTGATTCTGAGTTATTCATTACTGTATTTTAAGTTGAAATAACTTTAAGAGCAATTATAGGTCTTTTATATTATCATAAACAAGAGATTACCAATATTTTTTATATAGTCCTATAAAGTAAAATAGTAAAAAATAAAAAGAAACTATATTCAGCGGGATGTTTGCAGTAATAACAGAACATAATTTGATTTATGTAGTTAGTACAGACAACCGTATGAGAATTCTGACTCTACATTCTTGCTTATCCAAATCCTAAATAAATACTAAACTTAAACGTGTTGTATTCATATAGAATATATAATTTTTTTTAATTTAATAGTCGTTTATTTATGATTTCTATTCTATTTATTAATTATTTTTTGTATTTCGTGTAAATTCATGTTAATTTAAGTAAGATTACGTAATCAATTAAATAAATTTATTTAGGATCTCTTTTTTAATTAAAGATTTATTTAACAAAGATTCCTGAAGTTTACTATGCCATTACTAATACTCCTTCCACTTCATCTCGCCCCCTACCTGCTCCCTCATCTTTTTTTCCCCCCTCCCCCCCCACTCTCTCTCGCTCTTGCTTTCTCTTTTTCTCCTTTACCCTCTTATCAGCACAACTACTGTCTACATATTTTATTACGTAATTCTATTTCAACCTTGGATTTTGTTCTCGTAATCAAGATTCGTTTTGCTGTTCCTTTAGAATTCTATCTTGATTGATAAATTTTCCACTAGAATCCATGCAATTTGCTTCAATAACGCAGAGATAGTGTAAACAAATGATAAAATTGAAAACGTTTGATCTAGTGCCCTCTACTGGTAGACAAAACTTTATGTACCAAAAATATATATTTAAGGTTCAATTGAAAAGGTTAAAATATGTAAAATATCTCCAATTCACTTCCCTATTTGAACGATACAGAGGACACTTGAGGACACAAAGAGTTGGAGTTACAATCTGCATTATTATCTGGCTTTTAGCAGCTCTCTTATCAAGTCCTTATCCTATTTTTGCAAACAGAAACTATTACAACAAGAGCGGAAGTTCCAACTGCAAAGTGAATTGGCCAGAGAATAGTACTTTTATATTCGATGTAACACATGGGATATTACAAATGACTTGTGGATTTCTTGTACCAACCGCAATCATAATTATCTCATACATTCTACTCTTACAGAGAATTAGGAGAATGGCAAGAGTAAAATTAACATCCACTTTTCAAGCTCCAAATCGTAAAATGACGAGAATGGTCGTTGCTGTTGTACTTGCTTTTATAATACTTCACGCTCCACATTATATAGTAGAAATTATACAGATTGCAAAGAAAGTCGAAC